ATTCCCAAGTTGAATCATGAATCCAGCCGCATTTCCAGCTGGATTCCTGGGCTCATGGCTCCTATTGCCCTAAGGGCACCAGGGAGTCACAGTCTCTTGTTCTACTGACAGCCTCTTAAGAGGTTTCATCTCCTCTGCCATTCATGATCGCACATCCTCCTTCTGACAGCTGCAGTTATTACTTCCACAGAAAATCCAGGTTAAGAAAGGCTGAGTGTATATCAAAATAATTCCAGCATCAAGAGGTCAAAAATCATGATGTTTCTGAACTGGTAAGTCTTGCTATAGCTGGAAAGCTTTTCAGCTTTTCATTGCAAGATTAAGGTCAGAAGTTTCCTCTTTCTGAGAAAAAGTGTGTCCCTTCATGAGTCCTCCCCCTCCCAGTTCTGCATCCAGATATGATTTTAAGGTCCATGATTTTAAGGTTCACTTTGTCGTGTAACTACTTTGATTAGTAGTAGATGCTTTATCACCATGTCCATATCCAGCATGAGTCTCTTTTTCAAGAATAAGCGGACAACAACACGATTTCAGTTACTTCTATCCAGGATCTGGCAGTTAGTGGGCTGCAATAACAAGAATTGGTAGGATGAACTATGGTATGGAACTTCACAAACCTAGAAATTGCTTTTATTTATATTAATGGATTCTAGAAGGCTTAGATAATTTTATTTATTTTCATTATTCACTTTTATTTTTATTTTCATATTCTTTATAAACTGAATTTTGATTTTTTTTTTCCCTATAGAGAATGCTGTAGACAGCAGAAGTATTCCATTATTTCATTAAAAAAAATAATTCCATTATTTCGCTGTGTTCTGGCACTTGCCATCTGATACCACTTTGCCTCTCAATCTCTACCTGTTCCTTCTGGCACAAAGCTTATCACCAGAGACTTCAGAAAAATAACAGCACATACTTAAGAAAATTTCCAAATATGGGCTGTTTCTGAGAGAGGTGTGTGCATATGTTAAGTGAATTGTTTTCCAGCCAGCATTCCTCTCCACACATAACGTGATGCCTGACTGTATGCCTCCCCTCTAACTGCTGAATCACTGGATTTTCTTCTCTATGACAAGTGTCACGGGCCATTTTTCCAAATGACCGATCATGTAATATCACTATATGGCTAACTCGTAGTCTTTCAACTCGGAAAGCTGTGTCTTGTTTAGGCTTTTTCAAAGCTAAATTCCTCTTACAAAATGGAAATTATAATTTTTAAAAATATTTTGCCCATCAGTATTTTGGGGCTGATGGATGAAATTAGAAGAGATACAACAGGGGGTCGAATGACCCTCCCAATCCAAATGTTCTTATTTGAAGTAGAATATTTATTTAATATAAGTGCAGATAAATATGCTAATTGCAATACCTGACAATCTCATTTAGATCATATATAGCTTCTGAAACACACGATTACTTAGCTTCTTAAATACATCATTGCTGGCTTGTATTGTTTTTGCACTTAGAAAAAAGGTCTGGTAGGAAACCACTTGCATTTTTCGTAATGTTTCATGCGTGCCTCCGATATGCACAGCTCTCAACCTTGCTTAACTAACTCAACCCATTGTTTCAGGTTACCCACTCGGCGGAACGTCAGACTCTCTCTTCCTCGACATATTCTTCACTTTGCACATAAATAGCTCCAAATTACCATGCCGTGCCAGTTGGAAAGGCATGTGAGATTGAATGGATACCAAATGACTCCATGACACCAGTACAAGACAACACAAAATGAGAACTTGACGAAGTACTTCCCTCAGATAAAACCACGCACAACTAGTTAACAAAAAGTCCTCCGAGCTTAGCAAGCTAAATTAGCAACATCTATTGGCTTTTAATTGTTCTAAGAGTCTCTGGCCACAACATACAACTCGGGTGCTACAGCACAGGCCAGCAGTGACAGTTTTCAGTGTCCTTGGGACAAATTTTGAGCGGGGCACAGCGGAGCCAGGCCACACAGTGTCTGGAGAGGGACATGGGCCCCCGGTCCTGGGTCTGCGCTCCTGGGAGCTGCTCAGAGTTCAGCCAGCGTTATCTGTTGTAAGCTGCTCCTTAGCGCGCGATGAAAGAGAGGGGGTATAAAGCTGCATTACAAAACTTTATCCTGCACTTTTACATGTCTGCGGACTCATTCTGTTGGCAGGGACAGCAGCTGCTCGGTTGTCAGGGGTACCGCTGTGCGTCTGATACGAAAGATGGGGTGCCACATCCCGTGGTCCCTCCGAAAAACCGCGCATGCTTTTTCCAGGGCATTTTCCAAGACTAAAAATAAAATAGTTTAGACGATTTAGACTTCTTGTGCTGGAATATATATATATATATGAGTAGATGCAAACTCTCCTAGACAATGAGTGTTTGCAAGCTGTGCCCAGCTCCTGTAGCTTAGGTCTTTTTTTCTAATTGACTAGACATTACTGAGGAACACTGTAGCTTTTTACAAGTACTGACTGACAGATAAAGCAACTCAGACAAGAACCTTCTCTTTTCAAGTGTATTAAATCATTACATTGAGCTTCGGATGGCGAGTCAAACACAGAAATCTTGCATTCTTGTTCCTTAAAACAGAATAAAGACAAACAGTTGACATAAGACAAATTCAATTTCATTTCAGTATTGAAGGGTTTGCTGGAAGAAACTTTTTGAATGACAGTAAATACAAAGGCTCTGAGGATAAGCAACAGTCCGAAGCATTTGGACCAGTGAAATTGCAATTATTTAATACATGACTCACTGGGAATTACATCCATGAACGATGGATACCTCAGAGGCTCTTCTCCATTTGTAGATGTGAATAGATGGGTTCAGCAGTGCAGGGCTTTCTGTAGTCTTCTAGTTTTGTTTCGCTTTGGGAAACACTAACTCACAAACTTTTCAACAGCTTTATCTGATTCATCTATTATAAGTACCAGAAAACAACAGACTTGACATTAGATCATGGCTGGCTTTTCAAACACAGCCTCATGGAAAACACAGCCCTTTCAGAACCCAAAAGCTGATTTCACTTCTGGACTGAGGAACCATCTCTGCATTAACAATCCTGGCCAGAGTACTTTAATCCAGATGGGACACTTACCTCTGAAAAACAGCAAGAAGCATGAGACGGGCTCAAAGATGGAATATACTGGTTATCTAGGAGAAGGTGATGTTGATGTCCAGATTTGCAGTGTGTTGACAAGTTCTGGTTGCACATCTGGAATAGATCTCTCAGAAGAAACTGGGTTTAACATAGAAATGCACTTAATTATAGGCTATGCATGAGCCATGCAAGGCAAGAGGCTCTTCATTTGAGACCAACGTCCTTTCAAATTTGCCATGAAACTGCTGTACTAAATCAAATTCCCTGATTTCTCACATTTCGTCTTGGCGGGTATTTGAGAAATCCCTCGGCAATTTTCTGTGGCAGATGCTACAACACGCGTTGTTTTGTTTGTCCCCTTTCTCCATCCTGCCTTTGCCATGGTCTGTTCCCCAGCAGCTCAGTTCCTGAGTATCACCCCTCCGGGATAACTTCACAGCACCAGCAGAAAGATGACTAACTTGCTCTGTGACACATAGTTCTGGGATTATTACACAGAGGTTTCTGATGTACCTCTGCACACGGCAGTGATGCTCAAGGATGCCCCATGTCAAACCTCCCTAACACCTCTCCCTGTCCGCAGTCCCAAGTGAGTCACTTCGCTCCTTAGGCAGGGCACCTGCCTATTTTCTTTTCTGCTGGAAGGGACCCACAACTGCCATCACACTGAGTGAGCAGCAAAGTAAGGTAGTTGACACGAAGGGGAGGGAAGAGAGGCCTCTTAAATGGCACCTTGCTTCAGAGGCACCTCTCTGTCGATGACTTACTCTGAGTTCTCTGAATCCGATTTATGGGCCTGAGGATACCTATGTCCTTTTTTTCCCCAAAAAATTACAAACTGGGTGGTGAAGGCATGTGTATCACTACTTCCTTTTAAACTTTGACTGTAGGAGATGCCACTTTTCTTTCCCTCCCACATTTTTTCCTTTTCACTCTGGCCTTGCAGCTGGTGCACCTAGCAAGAAGTCAGAAATGTGGGTTCATTTCCATTTCTGCTTTTGAGGACTCAAACCCATTTTTCCCCTAATGGCCTATTCCAAAATATGCTTGGGGTGTTCTCCTCTATTCTTGCCGAAGTTCCACCTTGTACTTAAATGCTGGTGGCCGGAGGAAGGAGACAAGCCTCTGTAACCCACTGTCTCACATGCCCAGAGAGAAGGAGCGCTCTGCCTTCTCCTCCCTTCTCCGGGGGCCGCGTCTACGTTTTGTCCAAGTAGCTGCCTCATGACAGCTGTATAATCAGAGGACAGGGACGTACCCACATCTTTCACCTCCATAGGAGTGACTTACCTGTTGGGTTAGAGAGTCATGCTCTTCTTCCCCTCCCACCCTCAGTGAATCCAAAAGAGCATGAACGAGTAGCTCGGAGTCACCTGTGGATCTTGCCTCACCGTGCCCATGTCCTTCTCTCTCTGGCCCAGTGAATCACAGATCATTTCCACGTAAACCTCATGAGAAGGGAGGGACAAGCCTTCCCTGTGATTCCCACACACACCCAGTCCTGTTAAGTCCCCAGTCTCGCCTACCGACTGATGGGTTAGGCAGCGGAGAAAGACGGTGTTGGATCCCTCCAGGCAAAGGAGAGGGAAATGAACCTTCTCTCCTCCAACACCCTTGGTGAGAGCTCCAACCTCTGGATAACAGAGATGGCTCCAACAGGACTGCCTCTGGACATATTTTAAAAGAAACCGGTGATTATTAGTGCATTTTGTGCAGGGCCTGAGCTGAGTGTGCAACTGATCGGCATGCTGACTAGACAGACGGAGGCCGTCAGCGCAATAGCTGGAGGAACACCTCACCTGCGAAACCAGCAGCGATGAGCCATCCCTTCAGTCCTGAGCCCAGCAATGCCTCCAAGCAGAATTTAGCATCTCATGAGCTCAAAGGTCAAGAATGCAACCACCACCAGTAGACACGTCAAGCGCAATATGTATTTTATTGGTTTCATTTCCAAGAAAGTTAAAAACCAGACTGAAGAAGAAACGCATAGCATAATCTCTACAATTTATGAACAATCACGTTTTTTATGCAGTCCTTCCTTTTGATTTGTGTATAATGTTGACAGAAGGCTGACCTAAAATTTTGACCATATTTTGAAGGATGACATTGAAAGTATATAAATCATAAACTGTATCTGAAATAGCCTAGTCATATCAGAGAACACAGAGTTCAGAGGCTTCTCCTAAAAATGCTGATTCCTGTTCTGCGATTTCAGCCTCCTGGCTGTTATTAGAGCTTGTAATATCACCATTTTTGCCTAGAGATTTGAGAAGGAGTAAGTCCCACAGAAAATGGAATGTGTCTGAAAAATTCATTGTAAGGAAATATAGACTTAGTTTTCAAATATATAGTATATTTCTTATCCATATAAGGTAAACATATATCTGCAATTAGTCCAAAGATTTAATTTTGCAGCAATGCGAGTACTTAGATGAAAGAGCCTGCAGTCATATGAAATGGTCTTTTTTCTATATTCTCTGAAGATTGAGAAGTCACCCCTTATAGAACATATGATCTTTCTATGTAATATATACAGTGTTTCAAAGTGTTTATGCCCTTTTCGTTCCTGCAGTACCTGGGTTTGCATTATGCTAAGTTTCTTCTTTCTTTGAATTTTTTTCACATTATGGAAGGGATGTTCTTTCTACAAACTCACAGCACATGTCATTTAAAAGTGATTCTTCCTACTTCAAGATTTTCCACAGAGTATTGGCACTGAGAATTTGTCTTCATTGATGTGAAGACATATCAATACTGGCGGGAACACTCCACTTTTACTAGAAGGGAAATACTATCCTTGGTTGAGATGAAAGATTCCTTATGTCTCTTCCATCAATCTGAAACGTTGTGACATTTCCTATCACCGAAGCACAAGGATGTTCCTTCTGGGAAATGCACAGAATATACTAATGAGTATGTTCATACATCAGAGAAGATCTTTTTTTCCCCCTGTAAAATGACAAAATTATTCTTGATCTAATATTACTAAGCCGCAGCAGAAAGTGTAATTGCCTGTAAATAATAGGTCAAAATGACCAAGCTTGAGATCTTTAAAGTTCAAATCCTCTCATCCTTAGTTATCATACATTGCATTAAGGCTATTCACAAACAGTATTTGTCAAGCCACTGCGTACAAAAGTGACTTATTTTGTAGTAAGCCCAATAACAAGTGAAACAGAGCTTGCTGAGGTTTGCTTTCAATTTCCTTTTCTAACTTCTGTGCCATTTTAAACAAATGACATACTGGTGAGGTGAAGAGGACAGAGCAAAGCACCAGAGATTACCTGAAGGTCAGCATACAGCAGGTCTCTTCATATTAAATTTGCCAGAGCTGTGCTGGCTTTCTATCCAACAAAACAATGTTCCGCATAACAGAAAGGCAAAGAGTGAAACAGTTAAGAGATTTAGATACCAGGAAACTGCTTTTCAAGGTTCCAAAAATCCTGCTCATTACAACATCACATAATTGACTATTAGACAGATAAACCCCCTGCTTTTCAAAGCAGACATCAAGGAGCAGCGCTTGGGCTCTGAAGTGGAAGGTACAACTCTCAAAACTGATCCTCGGTTTACATACATATGAAACACCTCTCTCTTTCCACGTATTTTATGGCAGGTTGTAAGAAACAGATAATGTCTCTTCTTATTTCCATTACAAAGCTCTGCTGAGAGACTACTAAGAGTCTGTTCCAGCTGAAGTGAGTAAAACCAGTTCTTCAAAAGAACAAAGAAAAAAAAAAAAAAAAAAAAAAAAGAAGAGAAAGAAGAGAAAGAAAAAAGACCATCTTTGAATTCTGATTCACACACTGCGCAATGCGCTTCCCTTTTCCCATTGTATGCTGCTCTGCAGTAGTCTCTCCCCTCTCAGAACGACTGTTTGACCAATTCTTTCACAAAGCCACCTGCTCCCCTCCAGGGATATACTCAAACAACTCAAGGATTGCTTCAGCCAGAAGCACTTTCACACAGTTTGAGCCAAAATTGCATCAAGGAAGACCTAAATCATGCTGGATGAGAGTTCTGACGGTGCTTTTAGCAGGGTCAAAATTGCCCAAATGGCAATAGAGCAGCCAATGTAGGAGAATTTCCTCTTCCAGAAGGACTTCCTGGAAGCATGAAATCGTCCTGTGGCTGGCTGGACACATGTTGGGGGTCATAAACCACCTGGCCTCGATGTGTTCAGTCTTGCATTACATTGACTTTCCATGTGGTTTTTTTGCTGTGTGGCTTGCTTTATTTTTTAAATTTTCACAATAATTGATATTTCAGACTAAGTCCTAGGTTTCAGACATTTGCTCTCAGAAATCAGAACGCATGAGTCATATTTAGGAGAGTAAAGAACTCAAAAGCCTTCTAAGAAGGACATTATGAAATGCACAAAGAGTAAGAAAAAAGAATACTTTGACCTGTTCGGGATGGAGAAGCATCCAAACTTTCAAGAGTTCCCTTAAGTGGCCGTTAGAGACCGCTGAGGATAAACAAATTTTGTATAGAAAACATGACTGTATTAGTTGAAAAATCTCTAATTAGAAAAAATGCGTCAACATCCACAAATACGTAAGGAAACAAGTGTGTAGGAAGTCATCACATAAAATAAATCAGATGGAAATGTAGCAAATGGGAACGAGAGAAAGAAGTCGAGAACAAATGGATGAAATTGCTTCACAGGGAACGTGTTCTGCAAACGGCATACTGAATCTTCACCGAGCTTTGTGCCTTTTTGGCATCCTCACACACCGCTTCCGAAGAGGGAGAGAGAGATTTCCTAATAGCAGCTGCCTCTTCTCCGGTGCTTTCAGACTGTCTACACATCACCTTCAGTTTCATTTTTGAAAAGCTGAATGGACTGCTCCTCTCATGCCACTCTCCCACTGTTCCCTTCCCACCCACATCGTTTCTAAAATACGTTCTGCATCCTCTCTCTCAATTGTGGTTTTAACAAAGCAACATAAGGAAGTAGTGTATTGTTGTGTTTACTTTCCTTCACTGAGCTGTGGGTTTCTGACAACGATGCTGGGCTTGTTTTGGGAGTCGTCCACCAGTAAAACTTGATCAAACCTGTTGCATCCTGAAGCAATTGAGCAAAATAGAGTTATGGCTGCTGTAACCTAATCACAAGCAAAAACATGTAGGTGAGCTGTAATTATCAAGGGTTCTGCCATCTGATAACATTTACAGCAAACAGAAAATTAAAAGACTTAAATCAGAAGCAAATGAGTGGAAGCTTTTTCTTTTTTTTGAATAACTGACTACCGACTTTTCCCTGGAGTTGCATATAAATCTCATCTCCACCAGAGAATCTATCCTGAGTATTTTTCTTCACTGGATGTCGGGGGCTGAATTTCTGTATTCTCCTTCAGCACTGGAAGTACTTGAGACCCAACCGATAAAATATCTGGAAAGGATGAGCGTGAGGTCTGGTTCATCAGGTATATGCCAAAGTTTGTCTGAAAAAAGCAAAATATTTATTGAGACGCAACTCATGCTAAAGTAATCAGATCTATAGAGCATCTCACAACCCAGATATGTTTAGAAAAACAATATTGCTTTAAGAATAAGGAGGTATGTACTATCTCCATGTAATTAAGAACATTTTAAACTAATTAACTATAATAGACTGGAATACAAAAGCTAACCCCCTGCTATTCAAGAAGAATACCTTAAGTAAGTGGATAAATAATGTAGTATTTCATCATGAGTTCCATAGTATCATACATGTAATTCACACTCCCTCACAGTCTTGTCATTTAATGACTGTTCTGGCTTCTTGACAAATACAGTTAATGCATTATCACAAATAAAGGCTAGGCAGCACGAGAATGCAGGTACGTTCAAACAGTGAGGAAAAGTCTTGCATCTTCTACCATGAATTATTCGCTTTGTTAACAGAACTTTGTTCTGTCTAGCCTTTGCGAATTTCCCGTCATTTTTTAAATGAATATTTTAGTATATTTTACAGAAAATATTCAGAAAATTTGTTTTATTAGGACTACCACTTGTTATCTGTCATTGCCTGTGAAGCCATCCCATGTAAATATTAGAAATACTTAGATACGTGTCCTTGTGATACTGAATGATACAGAACAGAGGAACAGAATAACCACTGACCATACAGCCCTCGCAGGCACTGAAAACCTGCTCTGAGGGTCTGCACTCTTCTGTGTGGTCTTAATCTCCGGCACGTTGAACGTTACAAGTTGTAGCTGTGAACAGCCGGGTGTGATCTGGAAATGTCACAGTAAGAGACTGGTGTGTTTTTGCGGTTTTGTTTTCCAACAGTGGAGAATTTAGAAGTGCCCAAGAAACAGACTTGCAATCTCATGATAATATTTTCCAAACGATTAGATAACAGTTAATTAAAGAAATATGTCAAGTAAGAAATAAAGGAATGCTGAAGACCACGTTAAATTGATAATTGATTTGTAGACTTCAGAATGTCTTTGCTCTTCGAAGTGAGGACCTTGGAAACCCAATGCTAATTTTCTTGTCTTTTTTTAAAGATTTCAATAAAAAGTATTTTGTTTTGGTAGGCTACAGCCAAAACGTACCAGTCACTCTAAAGTGTAAAGTAAATAAATAAGCAAATGAAATTCATTTGGTACTTCTGAAAAAATAAATTTTAAAACCAAAACTCTATTCTCCTTCTTCATTTCGTGATTACATTTACTGCCATTGTTCAGACCGATGATCCTGAAATTGAGGGAAATACATCTACAGCAGGTTTAGAAAAATATACTAGGTAAAAGGAACTGCAATAAATTTAAAAAATAGTGTTAGCTGAATTTAAGGGAGCATATTTGACAGGCTAAATATGAAGGCAGTGTGTTTTCTCCTGTTCTTGCACCGTATAATTAAATAAAGATACAGTAATGAGGTAACACGAAACAGCTTTTAGTCTTTGAAGAATTAGCGAGAGGTAAGGCTGAGACCGACTCCCAGGCAAGAGAGATGCTGTAAAGCAGAGATCTACCCAAACATGGCCTCAGACTCTGAATTTGGGTCTTTCTGTTTCATTTGCAATCCTAAACATTAAAAAGAAAAACAGCTCCCAAGCAGAGTTTTTTGGCTACTTCTGCTATTCCTTCATCTCACTGGCATTTCACATATATGGGGTATGAGTTGGACCTGATCAGGCCTATCCTGTTAATGACACTTTTTGGATACCTGTGACCATAATGGTGTCAACACTGGTGGACACAGGGTAGATCCTTATGGTCAGTGTTCCAGTATTTAATGCTGAGGAATGACTGCAGCACAGCAGGATCCCAACCCTCTAGCACAGTGACTGTGTTGGATCAACCGTGATGCTAAAATGGTAAGTTAGTAACGGTTTCATTTAAAATATTGAAGTGCATAGTATTATTTTTCCGTTCTCGCTTTTCTCTTATTTGTTGACAAGCTGTGGTTTCTCTATTGGCATAAATGATGTGTTTTTCAGCCTTGTGGTTGATAACCTGGATTTACTTCCTCTACCCTAGTGCAAAAATGACAGTTGCCATAATTTTGTTGTTTTAAAAAATCAGGCAATCATAAAACAAATATTGTAAAACGAATATTAGTCCACGTCACATTTCACACAGGAAGGAATTTTATAACTCATCCATGTAAATGAACTTATTTGATACATGAGAAGTTTTTATTTATATTTACTGTATTGACATCTTGATTTATCTTAAAACGAGACTAAAATAAATCTGGGCAGATTGTTCACTGTGGAGAATTTAATTTACCAAGTTTTCTATTGTTGTGAATCATTTAGCAAGATTTTTTTTGTTAAAGCACTTTAAATCATTCAGAATTATTTAAGAAAAGGTATGTGTGAATACATCTTATCTTCAGGAGTTCTCAAATACTATTTTAATACTGGTCCTTAGTATTTCCCTACTCTGATTGGGCATCTAAAGTCTCATAGTATTTTTTTCAGTGCTGAGCCTGGGTGACGCCTAAGGAATTTTCAAGGTGATGGTATACTGACGGTATACATGTTTTAGTACTAATACCTGCTTGGAATTGCTGACGTCTTTCTCTTGTGAATGTTTTTAAGACCAAAATTTAGCTTGTGATTACCAGAGGTGGATTTAATATCTTTTAAGTAAATTTCCTTGTTTTTTCAATAATTACAAATATTGACTCAGCAAATACTGATAATAGCACACCCCCCACCCCCCAAGCAACCACAAAAGCTGTGCATCCTGCCATTTCAGCTCCGTTTCAGGAGAAAGACAGAATGTAGAAATTGGCCCTTCTCACATTTCACTGTTGAAAAATGAGGCTTTCAGACGCAGAGATTACAGCCTGCAGAGTTATTACAATGAACCGCATAATCTCTCTCTGCTGTTGCTACCTTTGCCTGACTTCAAGGGCCTTTTATACTGCATATAACCTCCCTAGAACACACCAAGAACCGGGCAGGGAGTGCTGGACTGTGAGTTCTGTGGTTTTGTCTGCTTGGTCTTCGGAAGGCAGTAGGGGCTCTTCCCATCACTCTTGAACTTCACAGGGACAAAATATGTAAAGCTTCTTGATTAGTAAAAAGCACAACGCTTCACTGCTGGGAGAAAGAGATAAAATGTACTTATTCTTGCCAACAGTGAATCATATGATAGTCATCACACTCACTTAAAGGAGGAGCTATAAAATGCTGTCATTCTTGCATGTTGTTTCAAGTACATTTACTGGATCAACAGTAATATGCACTGCTTAGATATTCACTGACAGAGAAATATCCAGGGTGCAGCATCTCCTTTTGTAAGACAGAAACCTGAGGTGCTACATCTGACAAAGGCTGAGATGAGATGCCTTCAAGCTACAGCTTGTAAACATTCAGTTAATTCAGACTAGCACTTGGTAGGGAAAATGCCCTGCTAGAATGTGTAACAAGCACATAAGTGATACTACAAGCTAAAACTTAGCTTTGGATGGATGAGTTCTGGATTTTGCCCCTGGATGTAGCTCTCAGCTGCCTTGTCCCAATAGATAAATTTACTTGTTCACGTCTGCTCATTTTATTCATACAACAACATAACCTCCCTCCCGTGCAAAGGCTTGGGAGATGCAATTATTAAAGCCGAGTAATTTTTTTCTTAACGTAAGGATGTTTTACTAGCTCTGGATTCACCAAAACTTATTAGTAAAGCCTTACAAAATAGGAGAGTGGAAGTACTCACTTTCAACATGCTGATTTTTCATATTGGAAAAAAGGGAAACTTTTAACTTGGTGTCAGAAAACCCCATCTTGTTCTGTTGAAAATATCTGGACGGCAGAATGTTTTCATAAGAACTGATTTTCCTTTGCTCTGCCTTAAATAAATGCATTTTCCAGTTCAGCCACCAATGAGAAAAGAGAACCATATTATTTCAGAGGTCTATTAATTACATCAATCACTGTTTGCAAATTTCCAGATCTTTGGATGAAAAGCATTGCATAGTGTAAAGCCCTGCATTACTATGAAAATGATGATAATGATGCATCAGATAAGAGAAGTCATTTGCTATCCTCGCTAACGTTTCAGTAAGCAATCCAGAGGCACGGCGTCTAATTCTGCAGGGAAAGAAGCTCTCCCAAGGGACAACGAGATACATAAAGGAGGATCAACAGCCCGCAGGAAAAAGCAAAAGCCTTTTAGTGTATGAGGGCATGGGCAAACATAATGGATTTCCCTTGATGTACCGCTATCCATACATTTATGCTGGGGCAGACTGCTAATGCAATTCCCTTTGCTACCTTGACAGCAAGTCCCAGCTTGCACTGCTGCAAATCTACCCACAGGGCTTCCGCTATTGTTAGCATTAAACTGCATCTGCAAAACACAGAAGATGGGCAAGAATTCAATGTTCTGTCCTTTCTGTCTATGTGTGTTTTGCATCAGGTGATGACGCACGTGAAACAGCGTGTGGCTATTTTTATGCTATTTGCTTAATGTAGTTATCTAGTCTTTTGTAGTCTCCTGCAGTAACAGAGAGAGCTCTGTCACAGAAGGAGAGCTCATTTTTGCTTTTCAGTCAAAAATTACAGAAGGAATCCTTAATGAGTGTTTCTTCAGAACTGATGGCAGCAGAGCTCAAGTTCGCTTTGTAGAGGTGTTTGTGTTTTATTTCAAACAATGTGATAAAAGGTTTTGTAAAAAGTAGCTGGCTAGGCTTCAGCACCCTGCTTTACATTTATCAGGAAACATGCAAATTGCTTGTGTGGCTAATTACAGTAGCTGGTTCTGACTTTCAGCTGCAATCCATCTATGCAAAGCCTCAATCTTTCAACTTGGAGCACCAGGTTCTCAGAGTCTCAGACGGATGGAGAAAAATATGATTTCAGCAATAAATATTGAACCACCTCTTACAAACCTTACTTTACTTAGCTCATTATTAAAGTTCATTGGCAGTGCTGTCATTTGGGCTACCAGTTTGATAAAGTTCAATATATTTTTCCAGGTTGGTGTTCTTAGAAAACCAAAACAAAATGGTAAATATTGACATCTGGCTCTCTTGTTAAGCATTCAGGATTTGTCATCCATTCATACGTGCAGTATCTTTAATGTTTTGGAAATCTACAACAGCCTTCCAAAAATATTGGTTCCCCTTCTACTGGGAAATTAGCTTAAGTCTTATTTTGCTGCATTTGTTTTTTGTAGTTCAAATCGTGTTATTGACAGCTGGGAACAAACACTGCTAAATTCCTTCACTGAATCTGTATCTGTTAAAAAAAGAAAATAAAGTCTATTAGATGACTCCTTAACAGAAAAGCGCATGCTAGAGACATGAGTCACCAAAGGATTAGCTCTGCAATTTAACACAGTCACATGGACTCAATGTTCTTCCTCTCTCCCCACTGTGAAAAGTTTGGATCAATGTCCTCTGCTAGGTCTGCTTAGCACACTGAAGATGCTGTAGTCCTCGGGTGGTACTTACTGATAGCCGGCTGGTGATCATCACCCCACAGATGACTTGCAGGAGGGAGGGGCTCTGAGGTCTTCTCAGACCACTTCAGGCAAAATTACCAGTTCAAACTATCTCAGCTGTCAAGCTAACCCAGAGGACTCGGCCTTATGCAGAGCAGGGCATGCTCACAAGATCCCATCTGCCAGCAGCACTGAAGGCTGGGAAAAACAAAAAAAGCTGAAGGCCCGGTTCTTTGCATCATGAATATCGTTGCACAGCTGAGGGAAGCAGAACACTCCCCCGCTGTGAATAGCAGCACTGTGCTCTGCAGCGCCTCGCCTTGCCATGTGTCTTTTATCTGGTGCCAGGTTGTTCTCAAGAGGCTGGATTGCTCTCTTTGCCTTAGTTCTGTTTGAACGAGTTACTTGGTTCTAGCCAGGAGTGCTTGTATCAAGAAAATCTTTACATTGCTGAGTTAATCAGAATGAAAGAGCAGCTCATCTTTGCTGTGGGAAACATGCAGAAGATGCTTTGCCTCTCCTGCGAATCTGTGTCCCGGGTAAGGTTTTGTTGCCATTTGAGAAGGTCGCTGAATACAGAGTGCTTTCCCTCTACAGAAGATTCAAATCATAACCCAGTAAAACCCACATGGGTAGAGAAAGTCCTCTGCATATCGCGCCCCATGTGGCAGCTGGGCAGCATCCCTGCCCAGAGTGCCAGAATGTGCTCTAAAGTGTCCCAGATACTCCAGCTGTGGCTCACCATTACCTGGAGAGGGCTCTTGTCCTCAGGCTACCCACCACGGCCAGGAGCTCATCTCACAAAGGCACATGTGCTGTGGCAATCTGGATGCCGGAGCCTGCTGTGCAACCCTAAGTCATCTCAGGTCAGCAGGAAGCTCTGCCTAGACAGCCGGCCCCTGCCTGCTTGCCTCTCCCGTCTCACTCTGCACCAGGCGGCTGGCTCCGGGACGGAGCCGGCGGAGCTATTCACCAAGGATAACATTCATTGAAAATGTAGCCCTTTGTTTGCTTAATGAGTCACTGAGATGAATCAATTTATGATTTTTTTTTCCAAACAAAGAATGCGTTATTTGTAACTTGTTTGTGCATTCTTTGGGTGAATAATTTGCAACCTATTTGTTATTGCTCTGCCTCTGTGCTGCCCCAGTCTCTGGTGTTTGGCTGGCATTGCCACGGCTTCTGAGCCCTGACTGGCTAACGAACTTTTACAACAGAAATTTAACGAACAGGAAGCAATGAATTTAGAGTAAGGATTTTCAGCTAAATAAATACTCATGGGGAGATCTGTGAAGCTTTTGGAATGCCAAACTGTCTAGCCATCATCTGAGCACTCTCAATTCCAAGAAGCAATGCAAGCTTAGGAAGCAGAAGGACTCCAAACGAACGCCGGTATTTCACTCTTATTCTCCAGTCACTTTCTTAATCAATTACTCTCCGCTTTGACTGTATTCACATCTGCTCTGTTTTTCCTGCTAAGTAGTTTCTCACAGTAAGAATAAAGTTTAGTCTTATGAGCTAACTGTATCGTTTCAAACACTTCACTTATTTTTCTGCAGATTTCTCTTCTTGAATGACATCAGCGCATCAGCTCATGTTTTTCAAGACCAAAATAAACACATTGTAAAGCAGTACTTACTGCTTTACAGCACATACAGCACAGTAAAAAATAATACAGTACATACTGCTTTACAGCACAGTACAGCACATACAGCACAGTAAAAAATAATGCATATTAATAGTCAATTTCTGAATAAAAAACCTGTTGAGCATTTTATGGAAATAAATCATGTCATATCTGGGTTGTAAGTGCATCCTCTTTTTACTGAAAAAACAAATGGTAACAATTAGCATAACAACTTAATCGTGAATATTCTCTCAGCAGATATTTCACTATGCATGCAATGAAATCACTACATGGAACCACAGAATCACAGAATCATAGAATAGCTTGGGTTGGAAGGGACCTCTAAAGGTCATCTAGTCCAACCCCCCTGCCGTGGGCAGGGACATCTTCAACTAGATCAGGTTGCTCAGAGCCCCGTCCAACCTGACCTGGAATGTTTCCAGGGATGGGGCATCCACCACCTCTCTGGGCAACCTGTGCCAGTGTTTCACCACTTCTTTCACACCTTACATACAGCTATTTTGGAGTACTGTACTGACCTTTCTACCTCTGGCAGCAGACAGAGACTGCAGAAATTCTTTGTTTCGTTCCCCAGACTGCTGATCAATGCAGATTATTTGACATCTGCTACACGGACCCACAACCTGAAATTTCAGTTAAAGAAGGTTCACAGCTGTATATCAAAGCAGTACAACACAGAACAGTACAAGCTTCTGACCATCATAATATCTTAAAAACCTATCTTTCACATACTTCTCCTGTGTTCTTTTATGCTTTAATTATGTAAGAGGTCAGGCCTGTTCACCTAATGTAGGTACATTTTCAAAGGGTCTACTTGTGAAGGTCTCACTGATTTTTTAATTCACTTTCTTTTCTTTTTTTCAGGAAAACTTTCCCAGAGACAGAATCTGAGAAATAAAAAACATTTACATATTTGTATTTCCTGATGGCTTCACTTCATCTACGGGCTGGCAGGGCTACTCGCCCAAAGGGGAACTGAATACAAAATTAAGCTAGCGCCTCAGGATTTAACCCAAGGAGGATTTTCTTGGAGTTAAACTAATAGGCTTTGGTTTACATTGTTTCAGTGCAGCTGAAATACACAATATCCCCCATTCTTTCTTACAGGCATAGCACTTGTAGATAATCAGAATGCAAGATGTGAATTTTCACAAGTTTATACAATCAGAAGGAATACTGAGAACCTCTACTGTAACATCATACAAAGCATGGTTCTTAAAGTTAATCTTGTTTGAACTAGGGTGTGTTTTTAGGGAAAAAAAACTGCAATGAATTTCTTCTTACCTTTTAAAGCATTAAAATTAAGGAGGAAGACATATTGCAGTTTCCCTTAATATTGCAACCCTAACTTTAGCTAAGCTGTACATTATAGAAACTGACTGTCTTAACAGTGTCTCAATTTACACATTCTACTTTTGTAAAATGTGTCATAAATTTCAGATAGGGCAAATAATTAAACCTGACACTGCAAACATTTGTATATGCTGATCTGAAGTGCTATTTCAGTTCTTTGAGGTACATCTAGAACTGCTTGTACAACTCTTCAGTGTAATCATCAAAACCATAGCTTGGCTCAGCTTTTTCAGATGATTTTCCACAGCTTTACTATTTTATTAAAAGATCAAGAAAACAAGACAGAGAAGGAAATATTTTTCCCTGCTTTCCTTCGCTCAACACCTTCTTCTACCATTTTCCTGGCATCAAGTACCATTAACATAATTTCTACTGTTACTACATCTGTATCTAAATAAGGACCCAGCAGAGACTGGAAAAGACAAGGCAAGTTGCATAAACCTTTCTATTTTCAGCTTGCATTCCTAAAGTATTTCAATGCCAGAAACAGGAATGTCTTTTTATTCTGTAGTTTTACAGTATCTTCCACAACAGGATCCTGAGCTGAGATCCCTAGTGCAACTCCAGCCTCCAACAAGCTATACTACAAGGATTTTGTCCTCATCTCCTACCTAAAGAAATTTTTCCTCATTTTTCTGTAACTCATATTACAGACTACTGATCAAAGTACATGCAAGAAGAGAACAGCTAAATCATAATTTCCACCCTTACTGAAAAAATGGCCTCTCCATTTCTTACAGTATGCTGACCAGAAAGAAATAGGAGTGATGTCTATCACAGCTTCTAGGTCTGACCTTAGCATTTCTGTTATTCACACCTTCATTATCATCCCTAAGACACAATGAATAAGCCACTTTCACATCCTAGGCAATGCATTTTCAAATACATATTTCATATCTAAGGACCAGACAAATCCAATAGAACGTGTAATACATGTGTGCATCATTCCCTTAGGTTTCATGTCTAGCTTCTTCATGGATCTTTTGTTGAAGTTTTTCTCAAAAGAATGTATTTGCCAACAAAGTCTGTCTTCAGCATTTTCCTTACAGTACAAAGCATGTTATGTTGTTACATGTGATATGAAGCATAACATACAAAAAAACCCTACCAGGCTAGACTTAGAATCATGTCTTGAATGGAGATTAAGACAAAATGTACACAACAGAGAGCAATAGACAGTGATCGTTCATTTGTATTCATGTCCAGTCTTTTGGCAGTCAGTTGCTTGACGTGCAGCAATCCGAGGTTATATTTGGACTATTATGCTTAACAGCAACCAGTATTCTCTCGTGACATGCTGGCTAAATATTTGCTGCAAACTGCCTCAAAACAGTGATTATTTTTCCGCTCAGTTGGATAGAGTTGGGAAATTTTATGAATTATGAAATTAAAAAAAAAAAGTGTGGAGAAATATGTCAAAACCTCTCAATTATATGGAAGCATGTTTGCCACAGGTCACAGCATGTTTGGTTTTTTTACACACTTCATAAGTTTCATCTGCACAAACTGTGCCGCCCATGTTCCAGTCAAAGCCTTGCAAAAATTGCTCTGTTTCCAGGGGTCAAAATACTTTGTGACAGACTGCGACTAGGGCAAGGGAGATGAGTTCGCACCTGGAATTGCAGAGCACCTATTGAAATCTCAGCCCACTCTTCTTCTTCAAAGGACTCTGGTGCACTGATGACAATGTTGGCACGGAAACGTCGGATTAATTCCTCTATTTCCAATGGCTCGTCTAATCTGTCTCACAGAGTTGACAAAGAAAAAGAAAAAACAAGGTTTATTAACTAGTTCTGCACTAGATATTTGTGCTTTAAGACTCTAGTGGCTGATATGATTCAGCAAATGTTTCTCCAGAATAACCTGGACCAAGTTTTATTACAAAGGCTATGAAAATGGCACAAGGTATTTAACTATAATTTGTAAGCCTTCAACTACAATTTGTAATCCTTCGACTATAATTTGTAATCTTCTAGGTGGCTTCTTCAGGGGTGTAACCTGGAACTGTGAAGCAGATATGAAAGCATGTAGACAAGCGTTTGTGAACAATGCATATGAGGAAATTCCTTATTAGTTATCATATGTAAGGCTAATGGTAACAAATGAAAAGTTCGTTTCTGAGTTAGCAATCAATCATTTGACTCATTAAATGCTTATAAAAAGAAGGCAAATAGAAAGTTATTCTGCACATGCTGCAGTGGCAAAAGGGACAAAACCGGCAGACACTGCAGGTGAAAAAGGCCAATAAAAGCATTTTATGAGAGAATGTATTCCTCATGTTATTATTATTTGTCTTTGGGATGCAGCAGATTGCACCAAATGATCAGTGTTTTGAAAAGAATTAATCTCTGTGTGGTGATACCTCCACCTTTTTACAAGCATTTGAACTGTCAGAGTGTAGATTTGTGTCAGTGCGGAGAACATATATGAGGTAGACAGAGTAGCAGACTGCATACAAATATCAGAAATCTAGCTGTACCTTTGAATTGTCATTCTTCACTCTCCTTCTAAAGGAGAACCCAACCAGTACCAGAAAAAAAGACAGCCCTAAAATTTGCAAGGGAGTTCTCTCAGCGCCATTGTTAGTGGGGAAGAGGATTTCTTTTTGCATTAGCTATTACGGACATAAACAACTTTTGACACTCCATCAGCTGTGGTCTGACAACTTTGGGATATGAGACCCAACACCAGAGGCAGAAACCTGGGTAAGTAGTGAAAAGAGAAGTTTCTGTCCTGGAAAAAAATATTTTAAAAAGTAAGGACATGCAGTTTAAAATGTGTTTTAATTAAAATGAGGAAAAACATGCAAAATCAAAGCACAGGGAAAACTGTTCACATCAAGCAGTCTTGGCAGAAGAGGCCTGTTAGGTGAAAAAAGAGCTTGATTTTATTTAAAATAGTCTGGAGGATCTTCTTTAGCAGACAAATCTGCATAAGGATAAACTGCCTGTGCAGACTTTCAGTCAAACCACACAAGCCCTGCTCCACCGAGCCTTCGCTGTTCAGAAGGGCTCCAGCAGCCTGGGGGTAGAAAGTGGGATGGGAAGCTGAATGGCTACAGGTTTTCCCTCAAGATCCCACAAGCAATCCCATGGCTGAGACACAATTCATAATGATTGCAGGAGATAGGAGCCAACAGAAAGTGTAAACTATGCCAACGCTCAGACAGACAGGGAGGAAAATAGCAGTTAGTCATGAACAAGTTCAGTTACGCTGTTGGGCTTTCTAGCTTTGCTGTGGGCTCTTGGAGCTTGGATGCTGTGTAGCCTCTAGTTTTGAATGCATTTTGTGACATATCAGTGCTTGCCACCCCAGCCGGTACCGGTGGGGGCATCAAAAGCCCCAGTAACCTCAGAGCTGGGCCTGCAGCGTCCTGAGCCAGCTGCTGAAAACTATTTCTAGTTTCTGCTGTTTTATTCCTTGCTGCTGATCCTCCAAGACTGCAATGCCCCTACTCCTAGTCTCTCTGCCTTCAACCTGCTCAGGCTCACCTCCAAAATACCTTACCTCTCCTGTGCCTATCCCCAGCCCTCAGAACTGCTTCTAATTACTTGACAGCATGTATCTGAGTAAATGCCCACCATTTGCCCCCCTCCTCAAAACATGCATCGGCTGGATGGAGTGACAGGCACCTTCATCCTGCAAATATCAACCAAGATCTGTTGTGAAAATCAACGTATTTTGCCAAAGCCAGCCTGAGTAGTTTGGATGTTTCACAGTAGTGGGCTCTCCAATCCAGAACGCATTACATATATTTAACAGGCAAACTTGAAAATGACTTTCAAGCGTATTTCAAGCAAGAACATTTGAACATAAGGCCAGGCCATGGGGATTTTCATGGAGGTGACCTGTAAAGGCAACACCAGAGAGGCAGATGTCTCCATATACATAGAGCTCTCCAACAGTATGTTACATTCTAACTTTTAATTAAATTGCTGTTGCTGTTTTAGATCACCTCTCAAGAGCCAAGTGCAAACTGGAAGATTAATTTTTACTTACAGAAGATACAAACAAAGAGAAATTATTAAAACGCAATTGAAGATTAAAATTGTTTTATAAATCTTAGCAGGCTTCCATTAAAAAAAAACAAACCCACATGCCAAGAAGCTAAATAATACTTTCTAAAAAAGAAAAACATTTAATAAAGACCCATATGTGCAGATTCTAGAAAGTACATTGCACGGTTCAGTATTTGGAAAGTTTGTACACCACAATTTAGTAACAGTGCAAAATGATGATGCTGTATACCTATGCTGAATTCATTTCCCCAGCACCCTGAGAAAGCACTGCATGGAAAAATAGGGAAGAGTTTTCCAACTTGTGCTGCAGAGTGGGAAGCAAGATGCTTCTCGGGCATCAAGGCAGCTCCAGTCACATCTGGAGTTTCCTTTGAGGAAAAGGAGATTACAAGCCTAGCTGTACTGGAAGAACCAGGTGCAAAATCAGTGGATCATCTGACATTGCATGTTTTACCAAAGTTCCCTGTCCTCCTTCATCCTCACTTGCTGCTCCCTCTGGTGCCTTACTCCTCTTCTTTGCACTCAGATCCCTCCTCTTCTTTGCACTCAGATCCCATGTCTGGAAGGTTCCTCACTGGGTCTCACCATGGAAAAAGCCCAGTCTGAGTAAGGTATGCCTGCAAGTGTTGTTCTCCCAAGGAGGTGTAACCGAGCCAGTCAAGCCTCAAAAGAAGGCATTAACTGAGAAAGGGTAGTCAAAACGGCTGAGAGATGCACTGATTCAAACCTTTTCCAGGCATTTTTTCCAGAGGAGCACTGCCATGATATGCTAAAATTGCCCAACTGTCTTCTCCTAAAGAAAGAAAACCCTCAGGCAATGCAAGCTCCAGTGGTCCGTAGTGACGCTTCATTCAGTCACTGGTTTTAAATCCTGAAGCTATATATGTATCCTTCTACAGATACATATATATATATTTTCCTCCTCTACTCAAAACAGGAATTTCAATGCAGGGAGCATGTTTGGTGGGTGACTAAGAGGAGAGAATATGACTCCAATCAGAGGCAGGGAAGTTTGGTGAGACAGGAGAAGGGGTCTCAGAGACAAATGCCGGGGCTGTGGGATGCACAGCTATGATGGAGGCCTTGAAGGCAGATTTTCTGTGGAATTGGAGCCTGTCCTACTTATATTCAAGAAACAGCAACTTTCTGATGTCAGCATATGAAAATTTATTTGGTAATGGGTTCCTTATCTTTGAACTGTGGGCTGGCTCAATGTTTCATTTGCTGCTTGTATCTCCCACTTTTGTACAAGTAAAGCCAAATTCAATTAAGAAATGAAATCAATCCAGTCCTGCAGGTAGTTTTAAAATATTTCTGTTGTGAATGTTAGCTATAAATCTTAATCATAGAATAGAATCATAGAATCATAGAACCTCTGAGGTTGGAAAAGACCTCTAAGATCATCGAGTCCAACCGTCAACCCAACACCACCATGCCCACTAAACCATGTCCCTAAGCGCCTCATCTACACGTCCTTTAAATACCTCCAGGGATGGGGACTCCACCACTTCCCTGGGCAGCCTGTGCCAATGTTTCACCACTCTTTCAGTAAAGAAATTTTTCCTTACATCCAATCTAAACCTCCCCTGCCGCAACTTGAGGCCATTTCCTCTCCTCCTATCGCTAGTTACTTGGGAGAAGAGACCAACACCCACCTCGCTACAACCTCCTTTCAGGTAGTTGTAGAGAGCGATGAGGTCTCCCCTCAGCCTCCTCTTCTCCAGGCTAAACAGTCCCAGTTCCCTCAGCCGCTCCTCATAAGACTTGTTCTCCAGACCCCTCACCAGCCTCGTTGCCCTTCTCTGGACACGCTCCAGCACCTCAATGTCCTTCTTGTAGTGAGGGGCCCAAAACTGAACACAGTATTCGAGGTGCGGCCTCACCAGTGCCGAGTACAGGGGCACGATCACTTCCCTACTCCTGCTGGCCACACTATTTCTGATACAGGCCAGGATGCCATTGGCCTTCTTGGCCGCCTGGGCACACTGCCGGCTCATGTTCAGCCGGCTGTCGACCAACACCCCCAGGTCCTTCTCTGCTGGGCAGCTTTCCAGCCACTCTTCCCCAAGCCTGTAGCGCTGCATGGGGTTGTTGTGGCCGAAGTGCAGGACCCGGCCCTTGGCCTTGTTGAACCTCATACAGTTGGCCTGGGCCCACCGATCCAGCCTGTCCAGGTCCCTCTGCAGAGCCTTCCTACCCTCGAGCAGATCAACACTCCCGCCCAACTTGGTGTCGTCTGCAAACTTACTGAGGGTGCACTCAATCCCCTCATCCAGATCATCGATAAAGATATTAAACAAGACCGGCCCCAGTACTGAGCCCTGGGGAACACCGCTCGTGACCGGCCGCCAACTGGATGTAACTCCATTCACCACAACTCTCTGGGCCCGGCCGTCCAGCCAGTTTTTGACCCAGCGCAGAGTCCACCTGTCTAAGCCGTGAGCCGCCAGCTTCTCGAGGAGAATGCTGTGGGAGACAGTGTCAAAGGCCTTGCTGAAGTCCAGGCAGACCACATCCACAGCCTTTCCCTCATCCACTAGGCGGGTCACCTGGTCATAGAAGGAGATCAGGTTGGTCAAGCAGGACCTGCCTCTCATGAACCCGTGCTGGCTAGGCCGGATCCCCTGGTTGTCCCGCTCATGCCTTGTGAGCGCCCTCAAGATGAACCGCTCCATAATCTTCCCCGGCACCGAGGTCAGGCTGACACGCCTGTAGTTCCCCGGATCCTCCTTCCGGCCCTTCTTGTGGATGGGCGTCACATTGGCAAGCCTCCAGTCATCCGGGACCTCCCCCTTCCCATAGGAAAGAACTAGTTCAGCAAGTAGCAAGATTTTGTATTTTCACCTGCCAGATTATTTACGTTGAGAAAACCTAATTATCCTTGTTCTTCCCACAAATAGAAGTTGGCTGGTTCCCAATAGTCTCCTGCCACCAAATCATTTGACAAGAATTTTGTTTAAGTTTTCCTAAAGATGACTGGCAGAAAAATTATGACCAAGCATTTAATCCAAATTTTCAGAAGTCATACAGGAATGAGTAATTATACCAGTTTAGTACCTATATATTTGTTGAACACTGAAAAGTAACTATCTCTAAATTTCCAGATAAAACAGTTATATTGGCATCTTATGGCAAGATTCTGAAACCCAAGACCGCTGAGAGACATTTGGAGACAGAAGGATCTTACCTTGCAGAAATATATTCTTTCAGCTGCAGAATGCTTGCTACATTTATCAGGAGGTATTGTGCTTCATTCACAAGAGAGAGAGAGATGTTTGTAGCAGATGCCAGACCTAAAAAAATGAATCCAACATTCTAAAATGATCGTTAAAAATCAGGAAGATTATACTAGTAATTTCACCTCATCTTTCCTTTGATCTTTTATTCATTCTCATTAAAAAATTATTCATTCGGCTCCAGACACTAAGAAAAGATTCCAAAGGTCCCCTCAAACCTGTAAATGATAATGATGCAATGCATTTAGAAACTGAGATAGAGCTGAGATTTTACCAAATTTGTAAAACAATTTGCAAGAGCAGTATCTATGGATTTTTTATGCTCTTTCCATTTGATCCTTTTTTATAATGAAATTTAGTCTAAGAATAAATTACTTGATATAGATTTTTCATAATCATTTTTCGAAATGATAACATTGAGTTTCCAGACAAAATCATGGTCATGATGACAAAAAAACCCCAGACTGGTTTTTCTGTACATTTTCACTAAATGTAACAAGTAGAAGGGCAGCATAAACACAGTTTGGGTATAAATATACCCTTTGAAACCTGCTAGATCAATACTGAATGATTCTTTCACCCTTTATCAGGGTCAGCATGAAGTCTGTGAGCCTGATGTTTACTAAGTGAGGAATCACAAATATTTTTAAGAATGACAACATACCTTTTGTATTTTTCTGATTTGACCTGTTTTTCATGTCTGAACTTTGTCTTATCAAGCGACATGGACGACCAAGAAACAAAGAAAACCAGTCAGCAATTCTTTCTCCACAGTCATATGTTTTTACCCTATTATGAGAAAAGAGGGACTTAGCACAATTTGATTGCCCAAACATTAATTTGCAAAACTGAAGACGAATTATGAAGATGTTTATTCTGCTTCTTCGAACATTAATTTGCAAAACTGAAGATGAATTATGAAGATGTTTATTCTGCTTCTTCCAATACAAAATACAGAATCTGTATTCTCTGATGAGTGATAAAACAGAGGTGTGAAGTTCTGCATACTTTTATCTCTCAGTTTCCTCAAATTTACTCTGTTAGTGTTGAAGTTAATATTCACAAGATCTAATTTAGTTTTATACAGAAAATTCCTGTGGAAAAAAGAATAAATAATCACAACGGTCAAGACACTGACTGTGAAGTACAGTAACTGGTAGCCCATATTACAATATTACAATACGGTATTATGAAAAAGTTATTCCCTGGTCTGTGCTTTTCACTAAAACAAAGAGTTGAATTTAAGATTGTCCCACTGTGCCACACTGTATGTAATTTTTAATGCTCCCATCAGGTACAATGATGTTAATTCCCTAATTTAATTCATGTTACTACAGACACTCCACTTTAAAACATGGCTCCACTAGCAGACCCCAAGTATGTCTGTCCTGGTTTTGGCTGGGATAGAGTTAATTTTCTTCCCAGTAGCTGGTATAGTGCCGTGTTTTGGATTTAGTAAGAGAATAATGAAAACCACGACAATGTCTCTATCTAAAGATGGTTTCCATTACTAGTAAATTGTCTAGTGAGTTATGCAAGGCTGGCAATAGATTTGCCTTCTTTACCTGGATGTCATCTCTCCTGGAAGGATTTTGAGATCACCTCTCTCAGTTCAGGAAGGGCACAGATCAGACCACTGGGAAGTGATCCTATTGGCCATTAGATTCCTCAGCCCTGAGTAATCTTAACTAATTTAATCTTCAATTAGTTATCTGGGTTCCCCTCACAGATAACGGAAAGAGGTAAGTAGTTCCCATCTATATTAGATCTCAGGATGGGACGACTCTCACTCTGGGAGTGTTTAACTCTATTGACTACAAAGGGAGATTTGACTGACATCTAACTTTTAAATGGCATAAACAGGTAAGAGGAATGCAAATTCGCATGCTGATCTAGGCAGGATTCTTGTAGTAAGGAAAGTGAGGTAGCAGTGGTCCTATGCTCACCTTTTTGTCCTAACCAGACAAAGAAGCTGATCTGCATGGAGACCATCTGCTCTGTGAAACAAGAAAACAGCTCCTCACAGCAAAAGATGCTAAGTCCTAGGATTGAGAGAAGTGGTTTGGCTTCACAAAATGCTCAGTAGGTTCAGCTTAGTTACACAGGTAGAAAGCCAGGACAAGTGAAATCAAAGAGATTTTATAATCCTGCAGGGATCAGGTATCTCTTCAGTGGTTGTTCTGAATTTTGATTGTGGTGCAGCTCTGCATCCCTCTCCCCACTCTGAGACTGGACTGACATCAACCACAGCTGCATCCAGCCAGCAATGTCCTATAGCTGAAATGAAACTCTGGTATTATGAGATGCGGGCACCGTGGCAAGAAACAAGGGCCAAAAGGTGAGACTCCACATGAGATTCTATAGTCTGAGCTGAACAGTTCTTGTGTCCCTCCTGGTCGCTGTGTTAGGGAGAAGGCTGCTAATGAGAAGGCATGAATCTTCCATGGTAACAGTACAGGTGAGACAAATTCCCCAAATATTTTTTCACACCGAAACAGAGGTGCTAGGGGTATTTAAATTCCCTCCTGAGCCAATTACCTCTAGCAGCCTGCTGGGGCTTAATACTGTATAAATCAGGATCAAAGTTTTGCCCTCTTTTTTATTTGTTTACCATTTTGAGTCACATTGGCTGAGTTAGAGACACATCATTCTTAGCATTTCATCAAATGTCACTGTGTAGTTTTTGTATTCCAAGACTCCTATGTTTTTAAATTGCTTTCCCTTTCCATCAGACCATTTTCTGAGCAAGTACCATCATCTCTTCAAGGTCTTATTCAAAGTCCTTCTGTTGTAGCTCAATTCTACTCATTTTCTGCTTATGTTTATTTTTGAGTATTACTTTACATCTGTCAGCATTACGTTTCATTTGGCACATGTCAGGCAATTTATAAAGGAGGGCCTAGTTCTCTCATATTTTACTTGCTGTTTGCCTTGAGTTCCCCACTCATCTTCTTATTATGTCATTTAGCTTCAGTGCGTTACAGCTGGTCCCTCTAGCTAGGTAATTTATAGAACAAGAAACAAGGACAGCTGAAATCTGAATATTGATCCCAAGGGATATAATATGTACATTTACGCACAACAGGCTCAGTTCACCTTGTTTTTAACTACACCTTTGTCTTCTTCTACCACTGATACCCTTCCTTTGATCTCTTTGATATTGTGGCCTGTCAAAGAGGAGGCTGTGTCCCTGCTTATTTCAGTAGAGCACTAACCTTGAGCATTTAAGGTCTTCTACAACATCAATAACCTTAACATCACTAGCTTCTACTTGTATCTGTCCACTGTTAGATATTATACTAGGAAGCCATGTCCCTCCGATGTGAGCAGCACATGCTGATGGACAACCCCTGCTGAGATGAAGGTGAACACTGATGAATTGCTTCACAAGGAAAACTTGAGCTCATTAAACTTTCATGGCTGCTGTGAAATTAAACTTCCTCACGTGACTGCTTGCAGATTCTACATCATGTGCTTTTCTCAGCTATCTCAGTGTAAATTCAGAGTAACCACCTAAGCCAACAGAACTGAATGAAATCAGAGTCAGAGCGCAGAATTAATAAGTGGAAAATGCCTTCAGTAGGGGTTTCTTTTGAATAAAAGCCTTTTAACAAAGACTTTTGGCCTCACTGCTCACCTCAGACACTTTGCAGAAAAGACCCCAGACCACAAATCACCTCCTGTCCTACTGCAAAGCACTGTTTTGCTCCTATTTCCATTTTTTGGCCTCAGAGGCTCCCCTGCTGAAACACGGGAACCTGGCATCAGCACTGTTGGATCTCTGAGCATTGCGGGAGCCTCATCAACATTGTCCGCTCATTCTGCCTTACTTCCTGCCTTGTTTATTTGCTAATCACAGTCCACTCTGTGCAATTTGTCTTGCATCTCCCCTTTCTTTGTCATTCTATCCTCTTCTTCCTCCTCAGAACTCTTAAGCAGTTTCCCATGAACATTTCCTATTTCATACATTAAAAATGACACAGTCAGTGACATGAAAGACAAGCTACAATAAATAGTGTGGCAGCCAATTATACGCACACAGAAAGATAACCTAGGCTATTTTACAGCCTGTAATAGATGGGCTAGCCATGGGGAGGCTAAGGATGAGTCAACGCTAAGGGAAGTGGGACAGATGGTTAAAACAAATGGCTCTTGGGTGAATTCCACTACCTGTGGAAATACACTTCTGAGAAAAAGATCCTCTTTATCATCTGAATAGTTAGCAGAAAAGAAGGAGAAGATCATTTCTTGCATGGCTCCATGGGGAAAATGGCCAGGTCTTCTGCTGGTTTGTTTATGTTTTACCCTCAGAGAAGCAAATGTAGAGGGTTACAAAGAATTAGTATACCTTGGTTAAAAGAAGATGTAAATCTGTAAGTGGCTCTTTTAGTTGGACTTACTAAGAGACTTGGTGAAAAGAAACATAGTAGATAATGCAAACGTACTTTAGGAAGGCACTTGATACACTGCCACTCAGAAAACTTAATGAGGCTGGGAAGTACTTAGAAAATATGATGGATAAACACTTAAGTTCACTGATAGGAAATTAATTTATGCATAATGTTATATTTCACTGAAGTGGTATGTCTCTTGATTAGAGTTAATGTTATTTCTGCAGTCTTCCCAAGATTGTTAAGGGGACATGGGTGGTCAAACATGGGTGGTCAAAACAAAATTAAAAGGGGTTGTAAATATGGAAAGCTGTTTATAACCTCGGCGGGTTCTAGCAATTTTGAATCTGCACAGCATGAAATGGGCAAAGTTGCCAGCATCATTACCGTCAAATGAAGGAACTGAATTCTAGAGTCGTGCTGAGGCCCTCAGTTGGCATTTGGAAGTAACTGGGGACACCTTTCCCTTTTCTCATCCTTGCAGCAAGTAAAACAAAGATCTCCCTTATGCATGTGAGTGCTAAGTCATCACAGTCTCTTGTACCATCCTTTCCCCCATTTTTAATTTTTATTATTTTTTAGTGTTTTCTACCAGACATGCTGGGCATGCCAAATTACCTATCTAAATGTCTTCTCCTGGTCCACTAAGTCATTCATTGCTTTCCACCCTCCGCCTCTTTTTTTAAGGACTTCTGCCCCTGTGTGTCCATCCAATCATGTCCTGAGTGTCACTGCAGTGATTTTCAGCTTTGATTCCTCTCTGCTTTCACTCACCTGTGTGAACAGACTTTACTCTCACAGATCACAGCCTCTTTTCCTGTATCTTCTTCTAGTGATACAGATATTGGGTCCATGCCTAGATGGGCAGAGAGCAAACCATATTTAAAAAAAAAAAAAGTTATGCAGAAACATAGGGTCATGAAAAAAGTTCTTATTTTTGCACCTGTTCACAATCACAGCAGCCTCCCAAATAGCATGTAACAAAAATCCTCTTTCTTTTTGCTAGAATTATATTCTCTGCCTGCAGGTGGCTCCAAATGATAATGCAAAGAGCAAAGGCTGCAGATGACCTTGGTACCCAAACCACCTTAAGGAATTTCAGCTTTGAGTAACTTCATTCTCTGTGTATCTCAGGCAACGAAACTGGCACAGAATTACTGTCTCAGTCATGGTTTCTGTTGAAAGGATGAATTTATCACTGTTGTGCCCCCTCTAGCAAATCAGGAGATGAGGTTAATCACTGTCGGGTTGGTTTTATTTTGGAGTGCTGGGATGGAGTCATCAGAAACATGAAAGATGGAGGTGGGGGCAGGGGAGAGAAAAAATAAGCACACGCTGTTCAAGGGAAGAAATATAATGTGTCGTAAAACTACAATAATTTAAAGATAAAATGTATTGAAACCACTAATGAGAGAATTATTCCCATCTATCCATCTCTCAGTTGAAATCAGATGAGGAATCCCTAGTAATGATTTACGTTAACAGTTTCTTCCACAGTTTTCTCATCTTGAGCAGAATGAGCCAAAGAGATGGCAGGGCTACTGTGGCTTACTAGAACTAAAAGAAAAGCTGTACTATTTTCCTTTCTGTTAATTGAAAGCAATAATCTGAAACGACAAACAAAGGGTTTTACTGTGTGGCTGCAATGAATCCAACTCTTTTCCATTATACTGCAATGTAAAGCAGCAAAGACTGATCTCCTGCATCCCAGCTTTATATCAGCGTGTTTCAATTTCATTCATTACTTCCTGTTTATATTATCGTAGTACAAATAAGAATCAAGCTCTACCAGCTCTGTCATATGGTGAAATCAAATTGGTTTATTCTCTTCTGAAGAATAATGAAATGTAGTTCAGGTTCACTATATCCCAACTATCAGCTCTGTTCCACGCAAGTTTTCAATACAGAAAGACGTCTACTCCCTTTTTAGCTAATGATGTTAGTAGACTTCAGAAGCGAAGACAGAGGAGGAAAAGCTAGGTTCACTTAGGAAAATAAAACACGTCAGTAATAAATGCTTTGAACTCGCTTGCAATAACCTGAAAAAGAAGCCAATGTTATCATCTTATAAACTAGAACTAATGCTCTTGTACTTTGAAAATATTAAACATTAGCATCATTCCTTCTGGAAAAGAAAAGTTTGAAAGGTTTCTTCCTGTACACATCCTTAGCTGTTATATCTTTTAAAAATACTTTCTAAGCAAGGCATACTCACAAAATTTCTTAAAATAGAGTCTCAGGGCTTTATAAAGCCCTGCTTTTATACACCAGCAAGTGTATCACATTTTTATTGAACAGTACACATTTTACAGTGATGTTTAGGTCAGTTAAACATTGTTAATTACAATTTTATTCTATCTTAAGGCAAAAAAATAAAGCAGAATATTGCCAGTTACTAAAATGTAAAAGCTGCCATTCTCCATGGTCATTTTCTTGATAATAAAATTCACAGATGTGCTCACAGTATTAATATAAAAAAAATTATTCTTGTCTTTATAGCTCCTATTTTCAGTCAATGAGAAAAATTAGAGGTCTGTTATTTCAATAGACTGAAATATAAACTATTAATGTATATTCTTTCGTCAGTGTATGCACTTAATTCCCATTATTTTTATTGGCAGTAACACATAACTATTTGAAGGCACAATAAACTCCATAAAGTGTAATTAGTTGCTCAGTTTTGCTAGCATCTTTCTACTCCAATATTTTAAAGGGCCTTCACAACACTCGAGATTTCTCCCTCTGTGCAGTGGCAAAATAATGCCCAACTTGCCAGAGTAATGCTGATTGTTAGCTAAAATGGAAAGAGAGAAATTAGTCTTCTACAGAAACGTATTCTCAGCTAAATCCTGTTTGGCTTACTTTTATGTCGGTCAGGAACAAGCCCAGTGTAATCTGTGCCCCCATGCATTTGATTGAGCAGGACAACAAGATTTCCCTTGATTCCCACTCAAGTAATATGGCTTCTAGAAATAAAGGCACTTGCTCCTGCCCGCCTTTAAGTTGCTGGGAGCCTAGCCATTAACTGCTTCAGTTGAGATACAAGAAGTTGTCTTTCTCCACAGAGGCTTATTTAAAGTTACACCAATTTTCTCAAAGTGGGTCCTGTGATAGCAAGGGTTAGTTACGCTCTTCACGCCAAAAAGAATAGGAAATGCTTGTTAACAACCATATAGCCAAAGAAAATAATTCTGACAAAATTCAGAAATGCAGTTTCTCAAAATTAAAATCTCACTCCCTCTACCGAAGTAAAGTACAGCCAATGAGAGACCAAGCACAAGCCCCGTCCTCTCCTTCTGCTCTCACTTACCCCCTTCCTCAGGGATCAGGGGAATACCTGGAGCTCCCCAGCTGCCATGCAAGCCAACTAATTTTGCAGGCATGCCAGGGAAGGATCCTAAGCCTTTGAGCAGTTTTGGCCCAGCCGAGCCCCAGTCTGATGTCCTTGCTACCCACAGGGACAGCAGGATCGCACAGCCGGGTCAGTCAGACAGCGGGTCTGCCCATCCAAGGCTGGCTGTTAGGCGGGCTACGGAGACACACTATGCACAGGGGTTAAAGAAAGAACATGAAGCGGTGTCTCAGCACACGGAGGGTTCAGCAAAAGGTATTAAAGTAGTTACTGTCACACTAAGTCATGCTGACGGTTTTATTTTGTTGGACAGAGAAGACAGAGAATATTAAACCATATTGAAATAAAATAGCCATAAACAAATTTTCCACTAATGAAAAGTTCTAGAGGGAGAGGAGAGCATGTGCCTGGAGGGGGAGAGAGAACAGACTCATGTTTTAAAAGTGGCACAGATAAAGTCTTCACCATAATCTAATAGTGTGACAGCAAAATGTTCTTTAAGAATGCCGCATAATTCAGCTATGTGGGATTCACCCCACTGGGCTTTAGGCACTTACCAGAGGCACCTAATCCAGCAGCACGGTTGCCTTAGGCTCTCTCTATTGGAGAGACACCTCCAGACAGCAAGGCGCGCTCTAGATGGAGATCATTGCCACAGCCTGCTCTCAGAATGAGAAAAGCACAGATGACAGCAGAGAAACTGGTAGAGAAAGCAGAGCGGTTACAGCCTCCTTGCAGAGGAGCAGAAGGAAGGCAGCTAGCTTGACTGCAGTTGTCACCCAGTCAGCTGGGAGCTGCTGGGTATTCACCTTCAGCAGAGCAAGAGGTGCAGTAAAGGTGTAGCTCAAAGGTTTTGCCTCTTTTTTTTAACCTCTGTTGCCTCCCTCACCCACTCCTCACCACCAGAAATGTCCCCATCACACCGAGAAGAACAGAGGAACTACATGGGGAGTGTGAGGGCAGGGGGAGGAGAAGGGGAGTTGGAGGAAAGAAAACTCCCCTTGGAAAGATGTGTGCTACTGTAGCTGAGGAAAGGCAGTTTGGGTAGGCAGTGGGAGAAAGAAACTCGCAAAGCAACAAAGCTGGAAGCTGGAAGGAGGTGGCTGTAGTTAGCAGTCTAAGTGCTACAAATCTGAAATACCATTAGCCACAGACATAGGCCAGTGAAACTCGCAAAGCAACAAAGCTGGAAGAGACCTGGAGGTGGCTGTAGTTAGCAGTCTAAGTGCTACAAATCTGAAATACCATTAGCCACAGACATAGGCCAGTGAAGGCTCTGAGCTGCACAACAGCCAGCCTGGCTCATTAGAGGGCTACTGCTCCTCACTGTACTGATTGCTGCTCCAGCTACACACGTGGCGTTCGGCTTCAGGTCCTACATTACCAACAAACTACTGACAGGCTGGAGAGAGCAGTGACAAAAGCAACAGTGATTAACATGGGATTTTCAAGGAAAATTAAATTTGTCTGCCATGAAATGGTTTAAGTGGGAGGTATAACAATGACCCATGTATGTGAAGGGATAAAGAAAAAAAAAAATTAACACCAACAAACAAATCATGCATTTAGACTGCAGGTAAGAGGAAAGAAAACAGAATAAATATTGGAACAACTTCCTACAGATTCATCTGCTCAGTCCTACCCTGTCAGTTCATATGCGTTCTCATCACTGTGCTATCTTATGAGCAGTAACCTCTGGAATAGTCTCCCTAAGCAAATGAGAGCCATTATTTCACTGTCAAGCATTAAAAAAATACCACAGGTTGCAAGTAGACTATGCGTGTGAAAAATGGCTATTATAAAAAGAGGGCCCAGACCACCTTATGGGTTAATATTATTGGTAACTAGAGTCATTATACAAAGAATAAAATGACTCCACTCTTACATACTGGCTGTACCAAAGCAGGCTATAAATAAATGACAACCATGTTTCTGTTAGAGCACACTGGAGATCCGATCAATCAATTTGGGTTGGAAAAGTGATCCATAGACTTGGTCAATCACTTCTGGATGGAAATGGTTCTCACTTTCATAGGAAGGAAGGTGAATGACAGTGAAAACTCCAAAAACGACACAAAGTAAAATGTAGGATTTAAAGGTGAATTTCACCCCGGCACTAACTATGGCAAGAGGTTGTAAGTCTCAGTGAGAGATGGGTTCCTTGACTGTCATTTTTGTCTGAGAAAACTTCTTCCTGACTCTCTGAAGTATGTCAGTGCAGATATTATTGATGAACAAACTTACTAATGGATATGCACTTGTCTGAACAATGTGGTACTATCAAGGAAAAAAATTAAGAACATACTTAGAAGAGAAGAATGAAGCAATCAAAAGGCCCAGCAGAGCTGAACCTCTGAAAATGTGAAGGATAAATAGAGAAGGTTTGGACAAGACTTCACATTGTGTCTGCAAGCAAGTGGTACCAGCAGAAAGGAAGAGAGATGGAAAGGAACTGAATTTCTAGAAATAATTAGTTCTGAAGCACTTGGTAATTTAAAAGTTGTGAGAGAAGACTGTCTATGCAACTGTACTACAAAAAGTTGAGGTGCAAGGTGCTCCACATAGAATTGACATGAATTAACAATACCTTTTCAAAGAAAGATTACAAAGGGAGGAGTGGAAAATAGCAGCATTTGTGCCAGTGAGCCAGTCTGGAATCCCTAAGAAGAGACTAGATTGTTCGGGATCTGAAACACACAGAATCACACAAGACTAGTGGAAGTACCCAAATGTACATTTGACAAGCCTATTCCAGACAAAAGAAATCAACTGGTCAGACTTAATTTTATGGAGAGTGCTCAGACAGCTGGAGAGGACAACAACTGTAATGTACGAACAGAAAGGAGACTGTAGTTACATATCCACTCATATGGATTTCTAATAAAGGGTGAAAAATCTGAATATAAGTTCCCTTGTTTTGCTCTAGCTGCTGAAAATGTGAGCACATATATTATTAATGGTTAAGACATACAGGCTGAGTAAATGTTAGACCCCAGGGAAACGATGAACACCATTCAGACACATGCAAACTTGGCATTAATAATGACTTTTGTGGAATACAAACCTGTTCCAGCGTTCAGTGCTAATAGCACTGTTAGCAAAATAAATAATTTGCACCCCGAAGTAGCAAAGGGCTTTCCGTAATACTTTCGGTAAGTTTTTTTCTTTTTTTTTCCCCTCAGCAGAGAATAAAAAGGGTTTTGATGAATCCAGAGAAGCCCAAACATCATGAAATATTTGCCTGCTAGTGCAAGTATTTAACTGAGCTAAATAACACCTGGTCCTTATCTTAATTCATACTAATTTCCACTGAAGACTCTACCCCTCTAGTCCCACAGCTGGAAGGAGGAGGAGAGCTATAAAATGGGAAGGTCTTTGGCCAGGGTGTTTGATGTTAGACTCCTATTCCTTTACCTTTGCAGCAATAACAGTCCCTTCAGGCTGATGGACTTCGTGATGAGGAGAGATAGACTAGTCAGTAAATTTCCATATCTTTCAATTCATTACTCGTTCCTGGAGCATCCACGTTATGATTGCACATAGGGAGTCACTGTCTACTCTCTGCCCGCCCAACAACAAGCTAGGAAACTACCCAGGGCTGTATATTACAGCCTAGGCTTTCGTTGCCCACAGCTGGTAGCAGAATTTGTCCCTGAAGTCAGTAAGCGTACACAGCATTCACTAGTTTGGTGGGTGCATGCAGGTGTCTCTGTCTAGAAAATTGACATGAATAATGAAGAGGAGAAAAGAATATTGGTTACTAACCTTCTGCCTGGATGACCATAACCTTTTTCTTCAGATCAATTGAGGGATTTACAAGACACAACCTTGGCTCCTGCTTCTGAGTCACGCAGACTCCATTCTGGTTTACAACCATCCAGTTACGGTCATACAGCAAACCCTGGTTTCCCACTGGCCATTCTGTAACCTGGAAAAGCATGAGGAGTGGATACAAAGGTTTAGAAAATGTTAGCTGCATTAATAGATTCATGCTGAAAAGAAAAGAGGGAAAAGAAACCGTTATTGAAGTCCTTTGAAATCAGGAAAACTTGTGCAAGCCAATGTCAGCCTTTAATAAGAGAAACCTTAATTGCAAATCAAAGATAAAGATATCACTGCATGAAGCTGAGAAAACAAAATGGGGTTACTATAATTTGTTACATATTATCATACACTTTGATTTAATAGAGCTATGAGAATAGAGTAAACATCCTCTGAAACACTCTGAAAACTGCTTTCAGTTTTACACTCATCCATTTCCAGGACCTTTCCCCCCAACAATTTTCTTTTAATTTACAAAGCATGGACATCTCATGGGAGTTGTATGAATTAAGGCAAAACCAAACAAACAAAAAGCAAGAAAAATGTGAAATTCAAAATTCAAAATTCTGAAAAAACTTCCATATTTTTCATAAAACTGGAACCACTTTATCAATGAATCCATCTGAGAAAACCTCCACCACTGAGGTTTCTGGTTTAGCCAGGAGCATCATAGTTTCTCCAGATCTGCTTCCAACAAAACACATTGTCTTCTTTGCTATCTGTTCTTCCATTACGTCTATAACACTCTTTACATTCAATAGCCTATACAAGCATATTGTCCTTGCTTTCATGTACATTTTTCTGGTGAAAAGAACATCTGTTACTGATGCTACACAGATGGTAATCTTGAAATCCAAAAAGAGAGCAATTTTAGTAATGCCTTTGGGTGATATTAATAACTGCTTTCTCCTTCAGAATGTTAAAATATTAATACCATTCTTTTAACATAAAGCAGGGCATTTAAACATATTGCTTCAACTCGTATGCTTTCTAGTCACAGTTGAGTACGGAGAAAAGTTAACTACAGCTGAACTTTGTTGAATTCTTGTAGAAAAGCTTAGCACAGCTCACATGAATTAACTGGCAAAAGGCTTTAGCAAAAAGTATTGAGAAGAAGATATGTCAGGCACAGCCTGATGCTCTGAAGAAAAGCACGGCTGGAAGCACTGGTTAGATGAATTAAAAATCACATTTTTGTTTAGCATGTGCTCCATCCAAAACCCCACAGAACCACAATGTCCCATTCTTATAAACTTTTCCAGGTTTTATAGGAGCCTGCAGCAGTAGCTTGACACTGACGTCCTGACTAAAGAAAGCTGAGGGCAGGCACTCTGAAACTGAAAAATTAAAGCATTAAAGCTGAACTCTAAATAATTTGGCCACAGTGCTATCAACTGTATTGAACACAGAAAATACCTGGAAAAATTTAAAAGATATTTTATCAACCTACTTGATTTATAATATTCTTTGGCAGTTTTTTAAGTGAGATGGATGAAAAATTCAGTAAAAAATGGAAACTTTAGGTCTGACAGTGTCATCTGAAACCATGTTGTCCAAGCGCCTCAAACTGTCAGCACCTAAACGATGTGAACCTTCGCTCTGCCTTTTTAGGAGAGGAATCATAGCCCAAAGACTGCAATATCAGCTGAAGAACAGACTTTTGTCCTTGCTGGAAATTATTCTTTGGAAAGGCCAGTATTTTTTTGTTATCCTGTATAACTAAATTACAGAATGCATTTGAACAGCTGGTAATCATCTGCGAGCTGCAAGAATTTCCTCCTAACAAATCTCCCTTCCAAAACAGAAGATCACTAATCGGTAATACATCCTCTCATGGATCCAACAGATCTTTACACGATTTACAAGACATAACGAGCAGAATAAACTAAAAGAGCAAAAAAATAGAAAAAGAGCATGAAGACAATGATTCCTAGCTCCCTATTGTAGCATTCATTTGTTTTGGTGCCACTTCAGGACAGCAATCTTATCCAGGAAATAGCTTAAGTGTTTGCTTACCCTTCACTGACGGTAAGAGGTTTTGTGAGCAAAACAAAACATCTTCTCTTTAATCAGAGCTTCAGCTAATTCTTACATGCTGATAGGCATTGTGGGGAAAGCTCAGCTGACTAGGTAGTGGATACTTGGAAATAATCAACACCTTCCATTCAAAATACCCCTGGTAGGTCCAAAATAATGGCAAGTAACTCCACGCTCCACTCTGAGATGCAGCACATGACTACAGGTCCTCAGCCCATTTTTCCCCTTCCTCTGGGTATTTGTCCTTGTAACAAGAATCATACATACATGTGCCCAGCAGTGAGTCCCTGTCCTCTCATGGATGTCCCCCGTACACTCTCAGGTGCCCTACTTCCTCTCCACTTTTCAACTTACTGTACTGCATATGTTGCTAGGACTCCAATAAATAAAGTTGCAACAACAAAATAACTGTGTACCCTGCCTTGGTCAGAGAGCCACAGATGATCATGAAACAGTCAGAGCTGGTTTGTTGCTAATACCGATACTGGAGATGAACATGGAAGAACACATACATTTCTATTCTTAGTACTTAGGCATGCGACCTGTGCAGACCGTCTCCTGCCATTATTTCAAAGAGGCTGAAGGGATTGTTAAATGATTGCAAGCAACTGAATTAGAGCAGTCCAAGCAAATTCTGCCTGCCCTGCTTTCATTTGAGACACGTGAAGAGTGGTTCAATTTGGCTCCCTTGGATTACACCTGAGATGTTTGCCCAAGGCTAGCAGAAATGACACAGGCTGCAAAGATGATCCACATCCCGGTGGACAGCAGCAGGAGGTCAGTCAGGGCACTCAAATGTCACTAAATACCTATATTCAGGCAACCAACACAGCAAAGCAAAGCAACCAATGAAGCTTACTGCGAAGTAAAATAAAAGAGGTTAGCGTACATTGCAGTAAGCAATACTGTTTTACATAGCTTGTAACTTGATTCCATGAAGTTGTCTGGCCACCTCTGACTACTGAGACAAATTAGAAGGGGGAGGACAGAAGGAAATCAGAGACACTGTGATTTTACTGATAGATACTAGCATACACCTACATTCCCAGCATGGCAGGTGGGCTAATCATCCAACATAAGGTCTTCTCTACCTGTCATAAGCAAGGATCACTGCATAGTACAGCCAGTACATGGTATTATCCTGTCTGCTTTAGTCCATTTTTCTTCTTGTAATGTAAAAATATTTATTGCAAAAACGTGTTTTTGTTTTTTTCAGAATTTTCTTTAAAACATTTTGGGCTGCATTTTTCCATAGTTCACAGTAATGTCATCATGAAGGCTAACACAATTTTTGAACACATTAAAGGAATCACTGAATAGGTTTTAAATTATGCAAGTTTAAAAATGTTAGTGGTTTTACATATAATTTATCCACTGATCACTAGGAATTTGCATTGTATTTTAAATTAAAAGCTAATTTGTCTTCTGTGTTGAGATGCAATTTTTATGCTCTGAAATCTACTGCACGAATAATAAAGTTATTAATGTTTAAAGTCCTAACCTTTTTCACCGGGCACACTGCATTATGTAATTATGCAAAATTCATCGACATGAGAGATGTTCATATTTAAAAATGCATGTTTAAAACACATTTTTATGTTGGAAAAGAAGCAAAAAAGTGATCTGGGATAGAGGTTACTCCTCTTCTCTGCTTCTCCCCATTTAATAAAATAATCGTAGGGAAACGAAAGCGCTTTTAAGAAGTTGAGTTAGGATATTCTGCCCTCCGTTTCCTGTGTCGTGTGTACAAACCCCATGGAACAGCACTGAACAGAAACCGTCCCGTGGCCAGGAACACTTTATAAAATGCACGTGCTGTAGGAACTAACCAACCTGCAGTGAGCTGATGATCTTCATGCCAAGTTTCATCCTCCCAGCTGCCAAAGCACTCTGCACTCTCATTTTCTCTGGAGGTCAAGCACCTCCCATACTAAAACACTTAGAATAGAGCAGAGAAATCAAGAGTTTAGGAGAGGAGGAGATTATGTGACTCTAAAGAGGAGATCAAACCACTGTGAGTTTGTACTCATATCCTCATCAAGTTTGAGGATCAATTACTTACACTAATCAAGTAATCTATCCTGCAACCAGTAAGTCAGCAGGCAGACTTCACTGGCAGACAGGCTGGGTCCTGCACACACAGTTAGCTGGAATTTTCCACTGCACATACTATTTTAGGCAAACGCAAGCAATCATGTACTTACAATAAAGCCCATTTACTACACACGCTAAAGGTCTGACCTTTTACCATACCAGCTGGAGGCCTGCACTTGAACTGACAAATCTATGAGTTTCTGATCTCAAGTATCCAAGTACAAGCCGCCCAATATCTACACAACTTTCACCTTTCCACATCAACTAGCTTAGAGCTACCTTATAACTGATAAAACAGGGGATCAATTTTTTAATTGGGAAAATACTTTTCTAAATTTCCAACAACTACAAAGCATCTAAAGGTATTTTAGATTTGAAATATGAAACTGAATTTCAATTCTTGGCTTCTAACTGAAGACCAAGGAAACTACAAGCTACATGATTATTATTTCAGAAGTTTATGAGTTCACTAAAGTAAGGAGATAATATAATGTTAAGTGTGAGGTCTGTATGACGAAGACCACTAAAAGACTTGCAAAGGAATACTTTTCTATGGGATTCAATCTTTTCATGATAAAGCCTAGAAATGCTGGTATAATCAATATTTTAAAAAGCAAAATGATTTTCAGGATCTGATTCCATTTAATTGTGGTAAGGTTTCTCTAGCATGTCTTGCTTCAAACTCCAGTGCCATGTGGCATAGGTTATTTTCCCCTTTCAAAGTGATACCGGCTGAAGTTGCAGTAATGACATACGTAGATTTGTGGAGGGTGATGCACTCTGCAGTTAGTGACGATGTGGGTTCTGGCAGCACTGGCTTTCTATTCTACTTTTAGCCATTGGGAAGAGACCAAGCCACTGCTTGATTTAGAATGGAATTAACTGATTTTTAAAGTTCATTACAAGTGGTGGGCTGTAAGTTGCCATTTGCACCTCTTCTATAGGCAGACAATGAGATTGACAGATCTTTCACAGGCTGGTTATAAATGGACGACAGGTCTAGAAGTGTCACTCAGACCTCTGGGAACAAAAACCTGAAGAATGCCTGGTGGACAGGAAGAAGATCATGAAAGCAAACACATTTTCTTTGGGGATTTACTTCAATACTGAAAATAATGAAAATCAATCAATCTTTTGGCCTCACCTCCCGGCCTGCTCTCCTTATGCATTGAAAGCCCTTTTCAATATTGAAAATAATGAAAATCAATCATCTTTTGGCCTCACCTCCTGGCCTGCTCTCCTTATGCATTGAAAGCCCTTTTTCATAGTATCTATCAGGTCAACTTCTACTGTTCTTTCACATGTACTCATGTATCTTCTATGAACTAAGTGGAAATGCAAAAAAATGCTCTTTGAGAAGAGGAGGAGAAGACTTAAATGCTATTGATAGTGAACTTCCAGACCCTTCCAATATCATGTACTAAAGCCAGTATATATTTAATTGTATATTACTCTTTGGCAATACAGGCTCTGACAGAGCTTAGCTTACTGGGTTTTAATGTGGCTGATACTTTATTATCAAAAAATATCAAACCAGAATACACTAGACTTCAAAAATTATTCTAGGCATGCAAAACTAAACCTTATAATATATATAGTTGCTATTTTAATATCTGTATTTTTAAACTATTCAAATCAGCTAATGTTAACTGTGTCATCAAAGTTGCCTTGGATTTCCCCTGTAGTCAATAGAAAGAGACAGAAATATTCATTTTTCCTACTGCAGATGCCTGTTTTACAGTAAGATGAATTAGCAGGTATCCATGTCTCACTGCTTACAGAATACTATCTAACTTTGGAGGGGTAAGCTGTAAGAGTAAGTAAGATGAACCCTGCTTTCATGCTGGGCCCATTAACACATGCCCAAGAAGTATGCATGAGGAATAGGGATTTTCTACCTCCATGTAAAATTGCAGTTCTGTCTGCCAGGGAGTACCAGGTTTGTATGAATTTATCACCTAAAGTCGTTTCCCCTCACAGAGCTTGAAGAGAAGAAACCTGGCTCAGCTTGTGGGGAAACATAAGCTGTCTTTCATGCTGAGGTACGTCTTACCTGCTCCTGAGCACAATCACTTCAAAGCCTTCCTAGCACTGAATGTTGTGGTATGTATCTCACAACACCAGCCTGCACGTTAAAAATAGAATTTAACCCCAAAGGGGCCCGAATACTGCTACAACATATTTCAGCAGCTTCTGCAGTGGGCTTCTGTAATACAACTATAATAACTGCAACACTTAAACAAAGGTTAAAACGTTTTCACATGAAATGTGGGATTACTTTGATTTTCTAAACAGTTTGATTTAGTGGGAGGTTAATAAGGCGTGGAAATTGTTTGTTCAGGTCTCATTTAATGCTCAAAATTGTGCCTCTGAATTAAAGACATCATAAGCCAAACCGAATTTAAAAATACAGATGTTTTGTTGATCATTTAACAATCTTTGCTTTAATTCCCCAGCCTTTTTTTGCATTAAGAAAAAAAATAATAAATCATGATCAAATCAGTTGAGAAGCCATATTTTAAATGCAGGTGATTTGTCACTGGATTTGACCCCAATTTTCACTCAGATGTGAGACAGTGACCTACACCGGCAAGTTTTCATAGGGAAAGTTATACTGGATATTGACATTCATTAAATCACTTCCCAGTATGGTACTAAGCAGTCACATTCTAGGTCATGTGTGGGCCATACACCTATTTCATCATGCATTATTTAAAAAAAAAAGTCACAGCTAAGGTGACGATATTATTAACTTGGTAAAAAAGCAATTAAAATCTCATATTTTAAGCAGGTGATTTGTCACTGGATTTGACCCCAATTTTCAGTCAGATGTGAGACAGTGACCTACACCGGCAAGTTTTCATAGGGAAAGTTATACTGGATATTGACATTCATTAAATCACTTCCCAGTATGGTACTAAGCAGTCACATTCTAGGTCATGTGTGGGCCATACACCTATTTCATCATGCATTATTTAAAAAAAAAAGTCACAGCTAAGGTGACGATATTATTAACTTGGTAAAAAAGCAATTAAAATCTTCAAAGAGTGAACTTTCAAATAGTGCAGCAACACTTAAATGTCATATTTCTGTTGCAAATGTATTTTTAATGATAACATTTCTTTGTAATGTAAATCAGCCTCCTCTCAATTATAACGTTAATCAAGTTATTTCTCAATTGCTGCCTACCCATCAATGCCTACAAGTCCATCACATGTTGTTCTGTAAAAGCATACTAATTACTTGATTATATTTTAGTCAAGTTTTGCAAATCCAACTATTTTCTTCAAGACTGCATATTATGTGCCGATTTGTCTGTTGGGGGGGAGGGGAGAGCAGAAGACACATTTGCATCCTGCAACTTCAGTCTAATTGAAAATCCTTCAAAGTACCTTAGCATGCAGGACTAGATCCTAGAAACTGGAGAAAAGGAAAAACAGGTACCCACATACTGCTTCCTAATATCTCACGCACATGCTATTCCTGGTTGACATGTCCGAGAGGGGTAAGGAAAAACACAAGGTTGAGATGAATATTTAGGAATGATTCAAAGTGTATACCTCAAATGCAGAGCAGGATTTGATTGGGTAGAGGTAAATGTTGGTGACAGCGATGGGCTTGCCACCTCTTCTACATGTTGGTACTGCAGTCTCAGAAACAGCTGCCCTTATGCTTTCTGCCTCAGCCTCCGGTGGCTGCCAGCTGACAGTTGTCTTTGTCGCAGACGAATTATTCCTGAGTTCTCTGTCTGAGATGCGTGGTATCAGAGACAATTTATCTGTATTGTTAAAGGAAGGGTGGTCATCTGGGACAGACTCTGTCATCAGCTTTGTAACAGAGGACTGGAAGGGAATCTCGGTGTCCGACTTGGAGAGTCTGGTGGCTATGATAAATTTCAAAAAAGTCTGTGCATCTTCAAAGGAAGACATGTAGCCAAAGGATATTCTCACAGAACCAGTGGGACGTCCATCAACTAGGTCTATATCATCTCCACAGACATGGCCAGCCTAGTTTGAAATAGGAAGAAAACCAGAGAGCTATTATGACAAATTTGCTTTATTTCCCTCTAATGTTACATAGTTATTAACAAGTCTTTTAATTCTAACCTGAGAAACTGTTTTCAAACATACAAAGTTAACTCACGAATACAAAGAGAAAATGGAGAAAAATATCCCAACTATCTTATTACTTACTCAAGCTGGAAAGAAGATAATTCTGAGATGCTTGTCCTATTCTACCCTAAGGCAAGAGAGACTTCTCAAAAACATGTCAAGAATCAGAAAAAGTTCTTATGTCCCAGGATGGCCTGTTAGCTAGGGCAGTCTCCAGGTATATTCCAGTCTCGTCTGCATAGTTCACTGGGATTTAAACTGGGATATTACATTCAGATAAGTGAACAAACCACGAGACCGCTGATTTTTCTGGGGCAGTTTTCTTGGTATTTGCTGTCAGAACAGTTCCATTTCATACTATCAGTGCTTATTCATGGCTTGTGTTAAATAGTCCAATGGATAGCTATACAGCTGAGAACTGGTCTGGGATACTAGCAAAGCAGAGACTTGAATCTAGAGCTTCAACATCCAAAGTGATTTCCCTTGTCATTGGGATATGCAGTAAATCTGTCTTGCTGATCCAGTCAACACGTTGCTTTCAAGATGGAAGAAACTAGCCTTCCCCCTAACATTTCCTTCTTTGAAGAACGCAGGTTGCCACTCATGAAAAATCTTTGTTGAAAAATGCTTCAAATACCCTAATAGGGACCTCCACATAGATACACCTCCATTTGATGTGTCTTTCATACAGCACTCTCTGGAAAACTCTCCCTTAGAGTGGAAGTTTCTCCTTCAGTAAGTGGGTCAGTGAATGCTGCCACTCACCTCCAGTGAGATAAGCTAGAGACCCCCTTTGTTCATCCATCTAACATTATCTCATCGACGGACGCAAGTTTTAGTCCTAAGCCAGCATCCTTATTCCTGTAAGTGCAGCAGTTGTTTTTTTTTCCCCCCCTCAGAATTTCATTTATTTATGCATTTCTGTTACATAAAAATGGAAGTGTGAATAGATTATGTACATGAGGGCTTTTTTAAGCAAGAAATGTCACAGTTCAATGAACACAGATGCCATTTATGCAAGGAGAAATAAAAAAAAAGCCTCTATGTCAAAGCATGCAATACAGTAGTAAATATTTTAATGCAGTGTGATGTAGTTTTTGTCCTTGACAATAGAGCAGAAGCAACATTTGCAAAATTAGGTTGCATCTGTTAATATACATGTAACCCTTCTGCCAAGTATTGATTGATTGACTGAGCAGAGAGGTTCCTGCTGTGCAAATCAGTAAACGAGTTCCTACCTAACATCCTAAGAAAACTAACCACACTTCTCCAGGGACCCTCGAGGACAGAAAGTCCTCCCTCACAGGCATTTTATACATGGAAATCTTCATCAGGGAAGGAAGAATACAGTCAGCACCCTGGGAAAAGGTGAAACCGAAGTATATGTGCAAATAATGTGATAAAAGATGCTTTCCCCTACATGGTAATGTTGTCAATAACTCATCCAGATCCTTCTCAAAGGACTGATGAGAATGTCCCAAAATAATGACTGCTTGACTGCACCACCTCATCATACCACTTTTGGCAGATTAAGTGTCTCTTTATAAGTTCGGGTTTGGCCTACCCCCATTTAAATGTTTTTAACATGATGTTTTAAAGCTGTTTTAACAGCTTTATTAACATGATACAGACCTATAAGAGGCCACCTACTCCTTAGCAAAATCCTCCTTATATAAAGAGATCCAGGAGCGTTGCAGCTGGTCATTGGCATTTTGCACTTCAGCAGAAGGGTAGACCTTTTTTTCCTTTCTCAGAGTATCTTGGGGAACCTGCTCTCCCTCGAAAATTCAAGCATCACCCACCTGCTCTTAGACAGATTATGCATGAGGAGGCTATGGACATGGAGCTTTCTGTTGTAAATAAAAGCACCATTTTGTCAAGGAAGGTATTAAAGAGCTTTCCCCCTTTAAGAACTTGTGCTATTAATCTTGCATATAAATGTGTTTGCAGAAGTTATCTAAATGTCTCTGTGAAATTATAAAGGAGCTACAATATCAATACAGCCATTATAATTTTTTAGCTTTTGAAGAATACCATTAATAACATTTTGGATTGTTCTGTATTAATTTACTGTAATTTCAAACTCTGACAAATATGCAGACATGAAGCCTCCCCCACTTCATTGTAATACATCCTGCTACACTTCTTTTAATGACAATTTATGGAAAATATTAGTAATCTAGAAAACAGTCTTTACGTTCATGTTCTAACAATCTAACACACTAGTAATCTAGGTAGATGTCATCTAAATTTACTTCACTCTCTGAAATTCACTGTGCATTCTCATTTATTGTTTCTTGTCCAATTTGTGTATGCCTTTTAAACTGTAACATCCAACAGCAATAGGTCTATAATACTTGAACATTATTAAGTACAATTAAGGATACTTAAGGAACAACATGAGATGAATCGTCCAGGAACTTCTGTTCTGCAGGAAGTCTGGATTTCATGTAATTCCAAATCAGAACAAGAAGCCACAATTTCATATTTTCCAATGAAATAAAAACAAGCAACACATACTGCTTTGGGTCCATCAAATGATTTTTTTTCAACACCCCATTTCAATGAATTGAATTTCAGTTCATTTAGTTCTTTAACATGGCAATTGAGTTGAAAGGTCAGAGAAAGCAAATCAAATTTACCTTCATTCTTAAAGTCGCAGAGACTCAAAACCACAGGACATGGTACACCTACTTTAGCTTTTAACTAATTAGGGTTTTTTTGGATACAGAGCCTGGTTTTTTTCTCTCCTTCAAACCTCCCATCCTTACAAAATTCAGAACTGATAGCCAGAAGATATCTCCTGGGTCACTGAATCTTGGTATTTTCTACAGGCAATATATCATGTAATCTCGTTCAAAAACTAACCTGCAGGTTCCTTTGGATGTCCCCATTGCTTATATTCAAATGCATCTGGCAGGCTCCTGTATTACAGAAGCAACCTGTGCGGACATGTATGTTGTAGAGACTGGCCATCTTGTCCACCTTCCCGATTCAGCAGGAGATTAGACATAGGAGAAGAATGAAAAATAGACATTTTAAAGTTGTGGTAAACAACATACTATATTTTAAAGGTACAATTCAATTGGAGGTAAATTAATTCTCTAAATTATTAACAACTTTCTGTAGCTTTTAGCATTATTGTTATTTAGCTGAAAGAAAACGGTGAAAGCAGAAAAGCTTACCTTGGCATTGACAGACAGTGCACACAACACACACACACACACACACACACAGAGCATATCAGTTCAGGTCCTGATCCTGTTAATGACGATACATGTGCTTAGTTTTAAACCTCTGAACAGGTTCATTCACATCAGTAGTGCTAATTACAGGCCTGCAGTCAAGTGTCATTCAGTGTCTCGACAGAACCGTCACGTACAACTGCGTCTGCAGAGATTTAAGAGAGGCCTGGGGCACCTCTTCAGTTAGCTAAAGAAAACCTTGTTCTCCAAGGATCTGAAACTGCAAGTCCTCATTACAGAAACTGGCTGTATCTGTGGGATTTTGGCACACAAGGGCTTGAAGAATCAGCCCCCCAGTAAGCAATAACATCCAACAGGGCAGGGACTAAACTGGAATACCTATTTGAGTCTTATACATACAACCACTCAGTCCACCAACTCCCTGGTGTACTTTTTCCTCATGCTGTGCTGTTCTGTGTTATACCATTTCTTTATTGTCCACTAAATAATGAATGGGCAGAAAATACAATACTTGATGACATACTGGCATGAATAAATTATGTGAAGGAATGAAAAAGATGTGCAAAGAGAACAGAAGCACATGTCTATATGTGCCTCGGAAGGCATACACGCATGCACTGGCAGGACAGCACTGGCAGGATGGCACTGCAGAGAAGAGCTATGGATTGTCAGGGTTTCATAGCACAGCTAAGAAACAACGGAAGCACACCATGGGGATCCTCTTAGCACAGCTAAGAAACCATGGAAGCACACTGCAGGGACCTGAAAACGCTTTATGTTGATTTCAAAAAGCAACAACAGCAGCTGGTAAGGTTAGCTGAGCAGGTATAGCTACTGCCAGTTATTTCTTTGACAATAAATGATGAACTTTCCTGGTCAGGACTGGGAGGAAGGACAGTCAGATGGTCAGAAAGGTAGCATGAAACCTGGCACATCCTATCTCTACCACAGACTTCCCGAACAACCTCTCACAAGCTGCGTTAATCTCTCTGTACTTTCGCTCCTCTTCTGCAAAATGGAGAGCCGAGAGCTCTGAGAATAACCCTGCTGCTGACTGAGAGGACCCCACCATGCCAGCGACACAATCCTCCTCACAGGGAGCTCAGGCTCAGCTATGTGCAGAGCCATAGCTCAGCCTAAAGGTGCAGGAATGGAAGTGTCGACCATCTCAAACTAACCACTTTCCTAACTGTGAGCTCATGCTTTATCTGCCCGAGGTATCAATGTAAACATTCAACCTAGCTCTTCTAGCTGGCTTAATCTCTATTGGCTTTTATTTTTTTTAACATAAATTCTCTTTGTATAGGACAATAGCCCAATACATGTAGCACATACCTTCTGGTATAATTCAGCCTATCTTATGCCTCCTATCTTCTGCCATCATCAATCTTCTAATGTCAGCCTATCTTCTGCATCTCTGAGTTTAACTGTGTGAGATACCAAGCACCTTTAATTTCACTATCTCAGCAGCTTGAAAAACCAAGCCCTCTGTTAGAACTTACTCCAGGCTGAAATAATTCAACCTAAGTAGTGTTTAGCTCTGCTAAAAGCAGTTCAAACAGCATTTTTTTTTTTTTCACGTGTGGGGCACAAGGTACTCCACACAAAAATGTGCTGTATACGCAGAAGAAATCCTACATCATTATAGTGCACGAGTTCTCAAGTTCACAATTAAATACGTTCTGCCCCAGTAGTTCAATTCAAAATGGTTCCGTTCTCAAATAAAGATACAATCAAAATAACTCCATATATCCAGACTTGGAAAGCAGAGAACAGAAACAGTCCCGAGATCCCTATTCAAGATTAATGCCTTGGAGAATATCCTGTGTTCAAAGCATGTTTCTCAAATCAAAGTTATATTAAAAGGCATCTGTTGAGAAAGACTGTTGTGGTGTCGTTAGCTTTGTTTTGTCAGAAGACTTCAATCTGGGAACAGTGACATTTTCTTGACTTCTTTTTTCATTTAGATGAGAAAAGTTGTCATCCTGGCATAAACCGGTTTGTCATGGTGTTAGTGACTCGTGGGTTGATCTATCGTTCTGTTAATGATGACAAGCAAGGCAAAAATCATGACAGATACTTCACCACATTCGTACAGTGTTTGGGCTTATTTGCTCAGTATACAAAAAGCTTTAAAATATATAATTTTTTAATTATTATTATTTTTTGAAAAACATTGCTGGGGCAGCCTTGCTTATCAAAGTGTATGTGGTGTAATGAAGTTTCCATGACCCAACTTCAAGGAATTGCTAACAAGAATTTTTAAAAAATATTTTTAAAGTTGTCAAATAAATTATTACTGTTCTTTAATGAACAGTAATTTCATTCTAGCCGTGTGACCCAACACCCTTCTCCAATAACACTTTTAATTGTGATATATATTAATCTGTACAGTAGACAAAGATTATTGATACATAAAAACGAATGAACATTAGAGGAATATAGGGAATTGTGGTTCAGGAGAACAAAGTTATGTTATCCATAGCTTTAGTATTAATCAAACTCCGTTATCACCAATGTGATAACACACACAGGGAATGTGATGCACACTTTTCACTGCAAACAATGACACCATGTAAAGAATCAGTAAGGACAGCACTGCAAACCTATCTGTCCCTTGAATGCATGCTTGACTTTCCCTTGGACATACGCTTCGATTTCTTCTTGTTTAGTTCCACCCTAGAAATATGCTACTTGGGGAGTTAATTTAATCTCTCTCTGCAGTGCTAACACATAGCAAAACAAATAGAATATAAAACATCTGTTACAGTTATTTCGAAGAAGAAAAGCTTATTTCAATAAAGCACATCTTTAAAATTGCCAAAAGGAGCAATAATGGGTATGGAGCTCAGGGTTATGAAATACAGAATGCCGCTTGCAGCTCTGTCTGTAATAGAGGCAGCTGACTTTTGGGAGCCAGGAATACGTTCATCAATGAAGGCACGGAAGCATGAATGGTACTAATGGTAAGTACACAGCTTAATGTACTCAGATTGTCAGTTTTGGTGATTCCCTGGGTCTGATATTTGGAACTATTGTGCCTTGGTCTTTCAGACCTTAAAGACTACAATTAAACTGCAAAACACACGCAGAAACCTTGCAGCATTTTTACTGATTTCAGTCAGTGAGGACATGGTAATTAAGCCATCACGACATCTTGGAGTCCCGTCTGCCCCTCAGAGCCCCTTTGCATTCATTACTTTTTCTGAAGCTCTTTACTGTGGGCCAAGCCCTGTAGGTTGCTTCACACCCCAACACTTCTGATGTCAGATCGTCTTGATTTTTGACAAGCAAAAGGTGCTTTTCAGAATTCCAGGCTGTGGTCTTCGAGTTTAATAAACACACATGAATGAAGTTCATCTAAATCCATTTTTAAAATAGTTCTTCTTTTTTTTCAGAGATAATTTTTATTTTAAGCACAGTTGCCTTCCTCAGGGAGCCTTCCTTTAGTGTTGCCAGATTGACAAAATGCTCACAGTTAGGGTTTTTTTCATAGTGCTCTATCTGATAAATACTATGACAACTTTAATTTTTCTTTAATATAAAAAATATTGAGGTGGAGAGGGTTTTTTCCCCTGGTTTTAATGCATTACCCTACAATAGTCCCCCCTGGATATCTGGTATTTTAGTTCATACTCAGCAGCTGGACAGCTCCAAAAATAAATGTGATTCTGGTGTGTTCTGATTTCCCACTCTCTGTCACACAGCTGCACCGGCGACTTCTCTGCCTTTGCTAAATGACTGACTTCTGCTATCCATTCACTTCAGGGCCTCTGTGGTGGTCAGCTGAAAGGTGTAAGCTTTTCTCGGGCTTCAGGCTCCACTGAAATGAGTCTGAGAATGACACTTACTGTAGGTAGATATATACTAAGTGATACTAAGTATTTACAAATAGCACATAGTTTTGCATTATTCCTAATCAACTAAGTCTAAGATTTTCACTAAGAATGATGGATTCTTTAGGAACCCCTGCTGAAGTCATTCCCATAAGATCCAATTCTGTAGCTCTTATTCAAGAAAGTACTTCTTATTTGTGCAAGTTATTTTACTGATTATCACAAGAATTATTCACATGAATAAAGGAACTTTTTATAATAGATCATGAAGTGCTCCGAAAAAAACCAAATCATGTAACTCAGTACTGGCAGGTACTGTCCTTCAGGAATTGGGATTGGGACTTCTCATTCTACTTTCTACAATGCTCAAATTTCAGAGCAGTTTGTTTGTCTGATGGATTTGCTCATTACAAGAATTTCACTGCACAGCACCGATGGCTGGTTATAAAACAGGCTTCATGACACTGTTCTCCACATCCACTGGTAAATTAATTCACTGATTCATGGCATGGAATTGGAAAGAAAGTAAGCTAGGTCTTTCTGTCATCCAGCATTTGACTGTGAAATGTTGTTGCTGATGCAAATGCATACTTAATCTTGTTTAATACAATTTAATAAGAAGTAGGTCAGGAAAAAAAACAAACAAACCAGCACTTGTTTCCAAATCATTTAGTAGGAGGAAAAAAGCATTTTAGCTGAGTTACAGTATACTTAAACTGGTTTAACTGCATGGTTTCCTGCAAGAGAGGCATTTTTTCCCATCCCAGGGAAAGAATTTCTACGTGGGCAGGTTCCCACGGTATTGATGAATCTGATCCTCTCCTCCTTATTGTGTCTCTAGTTGTTCACAATGGTTTGAACTAATTGGAGAGTGGATGTAAATCTCTCTTCAGTCTACACCCATTCATCACTCACTCTGACCAAAACCCCTTTGGTAGAAGGC